AAATATATAGCAGTATACGAGAGCTGAACGCCAAAGTCATGTGGTACCATGAATGAAGGTCAGTCAGCAGCTTCAACGATTTGCTTAAAATAAACTGCGATCAAATCTTCTTTGGGTTAAATTTATAAAGATTATTATACCAATCACTAAAACTTACACTTTGTGATGTACGGTAAACAAAGCAATAAAACTTGACCCTGAAAAATATGATTTGGTCAGGATTTGTATGATTTGGTTAGTAAAGTCTAGTTACACTATGTTACTGGACTTGCAACCAGACCAAAGAGAAAATCATATCATATTCCACAACCACTTTTAAAGGATCGCAGAATGTGGACAGAATGATGAACATTGTTTATTGGTAAACTTTGATAATTCCCATTGTGCACCTTCCGCATTGTGCCAATCTGATTGAAAATAACATTGATGACTAGTTCTTGAGCTTAATTGTAAACACTCTAAAGTACAATGTAAATTTTCAAGTCAAAGGTTTCTTGATATACTCATAGAGCATAGAATAGTAAGAGGTCGGACTGCCCTAATTTTGTATGCAGGCAATTTGAAGGAAAAAAAATATTACCATGAGATAGGGGGCACTCTGTTAGAATTCAAATATGCGTTCTTTACTCGCAGAGCGCATTCGATACAAAAGACCTATCATCTTCTATTTGAAGGATGCTCTTTAGTTTGTGATATTACTTTGCAAGATAGGATTGTGTTTCAAAGAGACCCTGCAGTTGGACCTTGCTATTCTATACTCTTTGATACACTGTAGTCTAGCAGAAGTTCATAATGAAGGAATTTTGATGTGAGCCTTGCATAATTTAAAACTTAAAATTAGGCATTGTTTTCAGCATTTGTTGTGTTCTTTTTCAATTTTGTATTTGATACAGCTTTTACTGCTGAAATAAAGATTTGATGATTGACTCAAAATGTTAACTAGCTATATTGTAGATGTTACAAATGGTTCTGCGAAATGAACAGAATAATAAAAGAAACAGACATCAATAGATGATTTTCATACACTGGGGGCGCTATTTGATGATGATAATGATGCATGCCTGTATCTACCTCGTCTATGACCTTGGGGTGGCATTCTGTGCCATAGATTTGTCTGCCATAGAAAAGTCTGATTCAGAAATTAGTCTTAGCAATTAATGCCAATTTCCCTGTTCATTATATCTACTTCCCGTTGAAATATAGACCAAAAGTAAGTCGGAGACAGTTTGCACTAACCATGAACCTAAGATTACCCAAAAAGAAAAAAATAACAAGTGGATGTTGTGGAATTAAATTTACTAATATGTCTGTACAGTGTACATATTCTGAGCCTCATGAGAGTAACTAAAGAAAAAAAAAAGAGGGGCATGCTTGGGAGGCAGAATAGGAAGTATGAACGAGGATGTGGAAACGGAATGAAAACAGGAAACCTACTAACACTTAGTAAATGAAGTAAATCCTAGTAAAACTGGTACCAATTGGAACAAATTTGTGTAAACTCTGTACAATGAGCTGTACTCATTCAACATTCCCCAAGTGAAAGCTACGATCTTCCACATCGATATACTGTAGTTAGTATTATGGCAGTACTGAATATAAGCTAATTTCTTCAAATAGATTTAAAATTATTATGTTACACATGTCTTATTCTTTGGTTTTGAAAACAAATTTCTAGCTCCTGGCCAATTTTCTTTATTGTATTATTTGGAAAAGATAAAATATTTTAGTAAAAATTAAAACTCATAATGTCATGGTCACTTTCTTCCAATTTTTAATTCATTCATAGTGTTTCATTACTTCAATTTTCCTTTAAAATAAAATAAATAATGAGCAAATAAATACTGATAAACTTGTACCGATTTGCTCACAATTTCAAACTATAGTTGGTCTTGCAATTATGTAGTGCATAATTTCAAGGCTTCACATTATTACCACGGTCAGTGCATCAGACACTCTCTGTTCCCTTGGGAAGTATAGATATTCCATAATTTTGGAAGTGTAGACAGAGTATTGCATTTCAAACCTACTGTACCAATATTAATATAATATGTATGGTTTTATATAGTTGCCTACACAGAGTCGGGAGCGGTTGGCGCAGTGGTTGCTTTTCGGTCTCTCAAGGTCAAAGTTCGAACCTTTGCTGTGAATTCCGGTTGCGTCCTCGGACAAGGCACTTTACTTGCGTTTGTCTTTCTCCACCCAGGAGTATAAATGGGTACCCGGTGGTTCACTACTGGGGAGGAAAAAAGGTGGTGTGGAAAGGAACTGGCCATCCTACCACTTACTACCGAGGCTTAGTAAAATGGGCTAACAGCTCATTTCCCTACATTCAATAATGAATATGGGACTACTGTACCTTTACATACACACAAGTCTCAGAGTGCTTTTCCACATTATTACCTCAGTCATTGGAACGATATTTATGGGGAAAATTCCATACGTAGTTTGCCACATGAAGTATTTCCTCACATTTTGCACTTGAACCTCCTCGGGTACACATTTATACTCCTGGGTGGAGAGGAGCAACGCAGATAAACTGCCTAGCTCAAGGACGTAAGTGAAATGCACAGCAAGGGATTGTAACCGACCCCGAGGTTGGGAAATCAAACCGTTCCCACCGCGCCAAACCGCTACCAACCAAGTACTCCTTATATAGTGCTCAGAAAACATTGATGAAAGCCCAATTTTTTTCCTCCAACAGTTTTTATTTAGCTAGAGACCTAAAGAAATTGTGTTTGGAATACATCTCATTTTACTATACCATAAAGTTTTCAAGAGAGTTATAAATTGTTCTCCGTCTGTTTGAAACTTTTTAAGCCTCACCAGTCTAGAGTAACTTTCCCCTGTTATATTTGACCTAATTAAAAGGGTACTGACTAGATACCTTGACTAGTTTACCTCCATTAAGAAACCATGTTTCTATCTAGGTCATTTAATTCTGTCCTAGTTTCTGTACTATGTTTAAAGTAGAGTTTCTGATACAGCTATGTATCAATGTATCAATTTCCCATTGCATTATGACAGTGTTTGTAGAGTTTTAATTTATGTTTTGTATTTTTTAAGCCTCACCAGTCTGGAATAACTTTCTCCTGTTATGTTTGACTTAATTAAAGGGTACTGACTAGATACCTCGACTAGTTTAACACCCATTAAGAAACCATGTTTCTATCTAGGTCATTTAATTCTGTCCTAGTTTCTGTACTATGTTTCAAGTAGAGTTTCTGATACAGCTATGTATCAATGTATCAATTTCCCATTGCATTATTACAGTGTTTGTAGAGTTTTAATATGTTTTGTATTGTACAAAGCTATTACATACATACCAGTGTCAGATCAGAATAATCAGAGAAGTTCAGGACTTCAAATTGTTTAACACCTTTTATAGAGAATGAACCATCCTGCTTATATCAGACAGTGAGTGGATATTCAGGGGCCTCTAAATTTATAATGAAAAAATATAATGCTTTTAAATAAGCTAAGTCAAAAAAGGCTTAAAGAGTAAACATATTTTTAATGTCATTTATAGTGTTTAAAGCCAGGGTCTGGAGGGAAAAAAAATGTTTTGATATGTTACTGATATTTTAAAGGCACAAAAAGAGTGTTTGATGAAAAAACCTGTGAACGGTTTAATGCGATACGGATTTTTAGTGTTTAAAGACATCTGTAAAGTTCATGATTTGCTATTTTATAAATTTTGTTAATTTGTTATAGGTAAATATATTTTTATAATTGAGATGAAAAAATATAATTATATTGACTTGTTTTTGAAAAACTCAATCTATGAGTTTAAGTGAAATTTGTGTTGACTCCTCCATTAATGATGTACACTCACCTTTATGCACAAAGAACAATGCGAGATCATAGGACGGCCTCTTTATTAAACCAACAATAATTAGGAAAGTTTATTGGCATAGCATTCTGTAGACAACCATTATGTTTGTATTGTTTTAGTTTGCATACCGCATCAGTTATGAAGCGGTAATATAATTAATTATCCAGACATACAAGTCAGTGACAGTATTGATTGTGTAATCTGCGACAGTTTGCTCATTGTCTGAAGCGGCATTGAGAAAGTGTGAAAGTATTAGAATTTGTATGAGAAATATTACTGGGGATTTGTGAAGTGCCTACCTTCTAATCCAAGAATCTTCGGTTCAATCATGTTATATGTCAGAATTGTTTCTCATGATGATGAAAGATTTTTATTTTATGCTTTCAGCAAAAAGAAACAAATGTATCCATCTTTTTGCCACTCCTAAAATTCAATACAATACACATTAAAGATGTCTGCTTAATACTTGAGTACAGTAATACTGTTTTTCAGTGTACTGGGAGTCGCACGTTCTTTTGGCAACAGTATAGTGTCCTGCTTTTGCGTCTCCCAGGCAGTGATGCCTAATGAATAAATAGAATAATAAATTTAAATAATAGGCGGTCAAATGGTCTTTCTTAGTAACTATTAAATTTTAAAAGTTTTGAAATACATCAGATGAATTTATTGTTTCAGCGAAATGAAACATGCAAAGTAATGCATTCATTTTGTTGCCACTCCCAATATTCAATACTGTACACTGTGAAAGTATTGGTTTTAATGGAGTTATGTTTTTAATGAGTAATACTGTTTTTAGTCTACTATATAGTAGGTGGTCAAATGCTCTTTCTTAGTAACTATTAAATTTTTAAGTTTTTAAAATACATCTGGTGAATTTATTCTTTCAGCGAAACGAAATGTACAAAGTGGTGCATCCTTCTTGCCACTCCCACTATACACATTATTAAAAATATCGGTTTTACTTCAGGAATACATGTACTGTTTTTAATGTACTATTAGTCTGTAAAATGCTCTTTCTTAGTAACTGTAAAATGTTAAAAGTTTTAAATATATCAGATAAAGAATACATAAGAGAAAATATGATGAAACCTTAGGAAGTATTAGTATTTACAGTTTTAAACAATGTAAAAAAAATCATAAACATTATTCTTGTTTCTTTCCTTCTTAGGTAACTCAAAGAGATGTACCTGGCATCGATGTTGCCTACCTGGCTATGGACACAGAAGAGGGAAGAGAGGTCGTCTGGAATGAGGTTCAGTTTTCCGAGAGGAAAAACTTTAAATTACAAGAGGTCAGTAATTATAAAATTGTGAATCAGAAAAAAAGAAATACTACTACTGCTACTGTATTGTACACTGGCAAGTTCAAGGCCTTTGAAATTAAATATTATTATTATATATTTATATATTGTTTTTCAAATTCTGCATCACATCCCTTTGCTATAATTACCTTTCTCATTCCAAAATTCAAATCTCTCTAGTAGTTTCCTTATTCATTCCAAATAATCATTTTCCTTTCCTATACCCATTTTCGTAGCTCGTTCCATATCACTTCTCTTAGGGTTTGCAGAGGATATTTGAAACTAGGTTAACTTTTTGATTTAAAGCAAATGGTGATACTGTTGAAAACTCTGAATGACCCATTAAATGACCAAAAATAAACTTAGGATGGCACGATAAAATATTTTTTAAAAGCCTTTAAATTCCTGATATAAGCTCAGCAAATGGCAAAGAGGTATAGATGGAGCAATTGTAGGAGGGTAATTGGAGACATTAACAACACAAAGGGAGTTAATATGGCTATATGCCGACGTCAAAGAACTCTTATTTCCTGATTTACTCAATCCTTACAACGTATCATTGGCTACCGTAAGCTCATGCACTTTAATAGTTTGGCCAAGTTTCACCAATTTTTATGCCAACTTGGATGCTTACCATAAGCCTATAGCAATAAGAGAAAAAATTGGGCCTAGAAAGAACAAATATATGTTGTATGATTCATTTTAAACCTGGATCAAGGAATAAGGTTCTTACTTCAGTATTTTAAATAAACTCATATACTGTACTTACCAGAAGTATACCCCAGTGTAACTTTATGGCAGATATTAATGTTTTTTGTGACTCCTGAGCCGTCATGCCAAATGAATAAAATAAAATAAAAAATAAAATAAAATAAACTGTCACTGTAACAGAAAATTGGTAGTGTGGACAAAGTTTTGCTCCAAAACATTAAAACTTGCTGTAAAACAATATTAACATAAAATATACATTTTAACAATTACCTTCACTGGGTTTGGATGATAATGAGAAGAAAATATATTGGTAAATCAAGCAAGCTTGATTATTTTTCCTATAAAAATTCTCAAAATCTAACTTTGGCCAAAATTTCCTCTGGAACTATAAAATCAGTTATTGTCAACATATCCAATTAAATGATTGTTACCGCTGCCACCATGTAATGTTGTAATGTTACCTTTGATAACTTAATGAATTGAATTGGAGCCACAAAAAGAAAGGACATGCAGTCCATATGTACAATATTTACAAAACTTGTTTATTTCACAGCTCTCTAAAAAAAAAAAAAGTTCCAGTCCATCTACTGTATCTCTAACTCTCCATTTCATCTACAGTATGTTACATAATTTTTTTATATCCTGCCGAAACTCCTCTCCCTAATTCCAAGTTCAATATCCTCTTTCTTAACTGCAGCAAAATTTAAAGATTGCTGGACCATTTCTTACTTTTTCACACCACAGGAATGTTCTTATCTCTTCCTAAATTGCGGGACTTTGTCAAACAGTTTCACCTAGTTTCACAGTAAACTAACTTAAGGATTCACATACAGTACTTTAACGACTGCAATAATGTGAATTATATTAATAGTATAACATAGGCATAAGGATGACAAGTTAAATATATTAATATTATGGCAAACTGGACCACATTTTTGTGAACTAGCTCTAGATTATTAAAAGCAAATCAATTCGTCTCCATCGCTATGCAATAGATTCCAATGCATCATACTCATGCTTCTGATACCTCACTTCATCCCACTCTCAGATCAATTAAATTATGTCCCAAGCAATTTAAATGTGACTTGCAATCTATAATGAGGCCTAACATGTCTCAACAACCAAATTTGATTTGCACAGTAATGAGTATGTTATGTAATCACAGTCTTGTAATACTTGCTGTATGTCTTTTTATGAAAAATTTCTTTTTTGGTGAACCAACTATTTAAAAAACATACTCTTGCCTGAACATTTCGTTTGCAATCAGCGACCTTTTCAACTGACTGAAGGTGGAAACCTATAGCCTGACAAGCTTGATGTCACCAGTCCGATGATATTTAGCGCCTGTTGAGATATTCCAAGAAGTCCCACCACTCGTTATTTGTTGTTCGAATAAAATTTCATTGTAGATGTTAGCGAGTTTTGTATGACCCTTCATCCCTGTTCATGTTATTTTTTTTTTTTTTGTGTTGCAACTTATGTTTTCCTCTTGTTTTTTTTTCTCTTTTTTCTAGGACCAAATCAAGCAAGTATTTGATAACTTAACCCAACTGGAGCACTCAAACATTGTCAAATTTTATAAGTATTGGATTGATTTGAAGACAGAGAAGCCTAGAGTAAGTATACCGCTCTACTGTAGGCCATCCTTTGTGAGTAAAAAGGGAAGGAATAAGAAATGCATGCATAATAAATGAGGGCCCTTTCATAATAGAAGTGAATTGATAGATCTTCGTTTTATAAGAGATTGCACCAGTTGCCTAGATATTTGATTAATAGAAATGCAGTATCTGATTGAAAAATAATTTGGATGGTCAAAATTGAAGATCGGTATTAAGAAGAGCGGATTTTCTTGCATTGTTGACTGACTCTTTGCCTGCGATTTGCCTGGTACTTTATGTGTGTCACAAGCTCTGATTGTGATTTTCAACCAATGAAATGACTAAGTACAACTTATTGCAATTCACACCAAGTTATATATTTAATTGTCGAATCTTCTGACTATAACAATGAAAAGTAAAAGTATAATATAAAAATAACCCAGAATCATAATTATACAAATATCGAACGGAAATGTTCCTGTTTATAAACAAAATGTTCTCACGGGACGTCTGCTCGGTTCTACCATAGTAACAGATCAACTTAGACGGCTCAATTTCCCCCCAGCTTTCCTACAATAGTTTCATGAAACTTGGGCGTCTCAATTTCACCTCAGTTTTCTTGTAGCACAGTATCCGTAAAACTTGGGCGTCTCAAATCCACCACAGTTTTCTCGGCAGTATTATCCATAAAACTCGGGCGTCTCAATTCCACCACGGTTTCTTGTAATATTTTCATACAACTTGGGTGGCTCAATTCCACCACCTTTTTCTTGTATATATCAAGAATATTGCAGGCTACACACTTAGACACATACTGCAGGATACTTCTCAAATTGAGGATAATTCCAATCTTTTAGGCCTATCTTTAGGCCATTCAAATCATTGGCCTCTCGAGCTACATCACGCTCAGCCAATCTCCCTCAACTGACCTCAACACAGTCCACCCCTCACAATCATCCAAAATTAGCATAAGTAATTTGCATACGCATAATTAAAATTAGTATAAGATCCAAGTAGACACAAAGTGTGAAAAGTATGAGCTTCATCTCCTTCAGGTTAACATATACAGTCTTTCCATATAATAATAATAAATAACTATAATAATAATAATTATAATAACAATAATAATAATATTAATAATAATAATAATAATAATATTAATAATAATAATAATAATCATCACTCTGTGACAATGGGAATATGAGCATAGCAGATAGCCATATATATCCTGAGTTAGTACCACACATATGAGTTGCTACACATTTTCAGTATGGTCCACTTGTACCACACATCTTAAGTGTGTACCACACATCCTGAGTGTGTAAATCTTGAGTATACAGTACCAAATATTTGAGTTTTACCACACATCTTTCATATGTACCACACATCTTGAGTATATACCAAACATATTTCATATGTACCACACATCTTGAGTATGTACCACACATCTTGAATATGTACCACACATCTTGAATATGTACCAAACATCTTGAGTATGTACCACACATCTTGAGTTTGCACCACTGACATAAATATTTACTACATATCTTAACTGCTTCCCACATGCTATAAGGTTTTACAACTCATGTTGAGTGTGTACCTCACTTCTTGAGTATGCACCCTGCAGGACTTCTTGAATGTGTACCATATATCTTGATTGTGTACCATAAGGGCTTACTTAACATATCACTTGCTGATTCAGTGTATAACCAGTAGCTACTCAGAAGGAAAGAGATGATGTTGAGCAGTTGTGGATATGGGTTGCACCTGGGGATACTATGTTGATCTATTTGCCATGGTCCGTAATAAATGATGTTGTAAATCAGGTCATCAGGTGACCTGATTTACGTTTGGAATTTAGAGTGTTGTCTACTAAACAATGATAGATGTTACTTTGCATATTTAAAAGCCTATTAGACTTCAAACCTTCATTGGTAGTCAAACATTTCATAAATAGCTGAGATGAGTTACGTTTCTTGGTAGTAATATTGAAGAAAAAACCCCAACATTCTTTAAACTGATAATAAATTGCTCATTACAGTAGAGAGGATCTTAAAATAAGTTCTCAACTGCCATTGAGGTGCATGCCATGCCAAACTAATTTAGTTTTTACTGAGATATACTTTTTAACCATATACCATTGACTACCAGCCAATTTATAATAAGTATGTATACTGTAGTAACATAAATGGCAATATTGTTTTTTCAAAGCAATTCAAAATTTTAAAATCTTTTTTAGAGAATTAAAAAAAAAATTATTTGGTGGTTACTATCTGTGTAATTGTAAACACAGACAGTAATATACTTTCCTTACAAGTATAGTATAGCACATCTCCACCAAGGTTCGGATCCTTCTTCCCATTGTATGTGTAATAACAAACCATCATTGTTCAACCAATGTTATGAAATATGATCCATATTACAGAGATATAACTGTCTTTTATCATAACTTAACCAGTGTGATTTAATCAATATTTTTATGTTAAATTCCTCTGAAGAATTCTACGTTTCTATAGTGTTTAGGTTTTCCTTACTTGGAATGCGAATTTAACCTTGTGTATGAATAATAAGAAAATCCATTTTAAAAACATGCATTGTATACCATAGCAACCATTAGTCTACAATTATTATAGGCAAAAATAGTTGGATTCATTGAATTGATCATAATATGATATTTCATGTGATTAGCTGTTAATAGAAGTCTGCATATTGGGGAAAAAAAACTTCTGATGATAGTATTTTTTGCAGAACAGAATGCATGTCACATCCAGGGACCATCACATTAATGAACAATACTGTACTGCAGCCAAGTTCAAGTTCCATTAATTGAATTGAAATTTATGGTACTTCAAACCACATACCAACAATACAGAACAGATACAAAAAGATAATGATATGTACAGTTTTAACATGTGTCTTTGTTGGGATTTGAGCCTGCAGCCTCTATTTTCCACGCCATTTGAAAAACAGTGCATAAAACTATAATTTTAATATTAGATTTTGCTACTGAAATGTATTCCTGGTAAAATATGTTATAAATAGAAGGTAAGTAAAAGCAAGTGTCATACACCTAGATGGTCACTAACTGGAGATTTAACCCCCAAAACTTTCTTCTATACAATTGACCTAATTTGAATATTATATATTATTTATGTATATTTGTACAGTACAAAAAGCTAAAAAATAAAATAATGGTTTAAAAAGATTTTAAAAAAATCTAATTACACCAAAGTGAGTGGTAAATAGGCCTACCACTTGCAAATGCTGGCTTATTTTTTTTTTTATTGGATTCCACAAACAATTATAATACACCAACAATTAACAATTTATTATGTTTAAAAATTTGGTTGTTTACAGAATGATTTATACTGGCTAATCATTATCTATATAGAAAATGTTCTTAAATACAAAATGCCTTTAGAACAAAATGACTACATGGTCATTGAACAGCTTAGCTGACAGCTTCGCATTCAACAATTTTCAAATGATGTCTTGCACATTGTAATTTCCATACTGTAGCTTCCCAAACAAAATATTATTGATTATGCAATAATAAAAATTGTATTGAAATAAAAATGTTTTGACCCTACCAGATGTCAAAACTCCTGAATAATGCAGTACAAACCTACCACTGACTTTGTGAGATCATTCAGTGCAGCAGATGCATGGTACCTTGAGGTCGGGGTTCAGAGGCCATGATACACTGAGGTCGGGAATTAAACGCCAAAATGTCCATTTCACTTTTGTGCTTGTACATTGCAATTTGTTGTACATTTGTCTCTTCACTTAAAAATCTTGTATCAGTAAAAACAGATAAATAATTGTCTAAAATTTAATAGGATAATTTTCATTTACAGGTACTTTTTAAATTGGAAAGCAGTGTTTTGGTTGAACTTTTGATATTTTTTATCTTAGGTTTTACCATACACACATAAATATTTTCTTCACACTGAATATGAACCAATCAATCATTTTATTCATCAAAATCACACAAATTGTACAATAGCAATATAATAAAAATCATAAAGATGAAAGCGACCTCCAAAAAACACCAGAGAGCTTATAATAGGAGGCGCAAAAAGAAGCTAGTTACTATTTAACAACATAGACCGAAATAAAATAATAAATATAAAATTTAATAAGTATTAAAAAAGTAAGAAAGAGGAAAAAGGTGAGCAACTCTAATTTTTATATCTATACATACATGGGCTTCACCGTATTACCCTTGATGTTAGGATTCCTTTACCTAAACAGAGTTTAAATAGAGAAGTATCTCATAGAGAGGAGCAGTTTTGTGGACGAATACACTCACGGATAGTCAACAAAACGCAACCTAAACAAATTAAAGAAGTTTATTTTCATGTTGTAATTCTATATTCCTCAATTTTAATTGTTGATAGTTTTGTACTTAATTCATTTTCATAAAAAAATAATTGTACTTTATCTTTAAATTAAACTTTTTTCCTTTATGTTTAGGAATCCTTCTCATACAGTGTATGTTTAACACATTCTAAAAATATCCATATTGATTGTTGTGTTTATTTTCTCACTATTAAATTGACCAGGCCAAGGTCAATTTTGTTTGGTTATTTTTTACCTATTAGGTTTCTACACCTAAAGATCTGCTAATCTGGCATACCATTATTATTCAACCGTGAAGGTTAAATTATGAGGGTGTTAAGGGGAAAACCGACCCTTCACTGAACAATAATTGATTATTTATTAATTTATTTTTCGTTTTAATTATACAATAATTCTAAGTATGTGTACATATTATATACACTGTATATGCTCTACACAAAGAGGAGGTGAAAAGTTCAAAATTTTAACAAAAATTTGAATACTTTATTTTTACATGATTGACACACCTGTACTAACATTAATATGTTTTCTTAGTAATATTTCATGGTTGATTCAATTTTGACTGTCAAGTTCATTCTAGGAAGGTGAAACACCTTCATTAATACAACATAACACATACCTGTAATCCCAAACAATAGTTTTCATGTAATTCCATTTATGTTATGGTGCTCAGTTTTAAATGTTCCTGAATGTCAGGAAGGCTGTGGGAGTTAATAGGTTTCCCCAACAGTGGCTATAACATCCCTTCCCATCTCTGATTAAAAATTATTCAGTGGTTTATGTAAATGTTGTGTCACTCAATATTTGAAAACTAAGTTTTATTTTGTGTGTGGTTGTGTACAAAGGAAGTAGTCAGCATCATAAGCCTCAGACTTGGGAGACTACCATCCCCTCTAATTGCAAATGCTTATTGTTGTGTCACTGCTGTGGTATAGCAGTCTTGTGTCCAAGTTCTATCTGGAACCATAAATTGAATTCTGCAATTTTTTTTAATTTTATTAATTTGTTCCCTCCTTGATAATCCAACAGCAAGTACACTCACCAGTTATTACAGAATTGGATGATTCTCTATAATATATTTCACAGGATTTGAACCCAGAAACTTGCTATTGGAGGACTAGCACCAAGCTATAGCTCCACCCTTTATTAGCATATTTTTTTTTTGCAATTTTCTCTCCTTCTCAGTCAGATTTGGATTGATGTTGGTTGAAAGCTGTATGTTAAAATAATGAGTCTAGAATAGTCACATGAGGCTAGTGTATGCTTTTAATTGGTCATCCCAGTAGCATCATTATAGTTCACACTGAAACATTGTCATAGAAATTTCAACTTGTCATTGAATGAATTCCTTAGATATCTTACTGTATTTAAGACAACATATATATTCTGCTGTAGAAAGTGATTGTACTTTTCTTACAACTTTGCACAAGTTCTTAAATTTAAGTTCATCATCTGGTACCTTGCTAAAGTGCAGGTAATTGTTTATATTTCCTTTGAAAATATCTTCCACTATTCTTTAGTTTTTACAACAATACAGTAAAGTTTTCTTTACCTATCTTGATGAAATATGGAAAAGTATTGCAAGTAATAATATAATATACTGTACAAAAGGTCTATTTTGATTATAGCTATTAATTAACATCTTGAAGAATCTGATAACCTTTGTTGTTATTGTTGGGTGAAATAATTATATTGGTTTATCAAAACATGTTAATAATTATTCATTAAGCACCTGTATTGCCAATCTGTAGATTGTTTTTCTTGTCAATGTACAATAACAAGAATCAAACCTTTTATCTAACTGTATGAACAATTGCAAAATGACTTCTAAAAATACTTACTATTCTTATCAGACATTGTTTAATATACTGTACAGTAAGCCACAATTTTGCATTGATTGTTAATTAAGATTGTAAAAGATTCCTTTATTGTTTGTTTTATTGATACTGTATGCTAGTAATGAAATGTGCAGTTCCAAAAAAACTACTAATGCTGTTTTCTGTGTTTCTCATAAAAAAAAATATGGCTTTTGAGTAGAAAAAAAAATACAATTACAGGTAATTACAAAAAAAGCAATCAGAGGTGTTCTATTTTTTTTTTGGTATTTTAACTTATGGACCGAGGTTAGTATTACAGTATACTAACTTGTTGGACAACTTGAAACCAGAAAAAGGAAAAGGAAGATGAATCAAGATCTAACATAATTGTCTGTTTCATTACGGAGTTTTCATCATCATTTTCCTTCATCAGATAATTGACGAATCACTTGGTGATGGCTCTTACTACATCCTGTAAGAATGTTATGCACGCAGGAACGCTCGCTGTTCCACGCACATTTTTAATGTTGTGTTTCAATTATCATTCATGATGACATACTGCATCCTGTTGCTGTGCTCTTAGCAAATAAATGTATTCATGACATTTGAACATAATGTATTGAATGTACTGATGGTAACGAATACTGCCTCTCTTACTGTAGATACGATTATTTAATTCTAGAAAAATATGTTGACACCCAGTATGCCGTGTACCTGCAGGGCGTACTGTTTACTGTACAGTGCTATCTCTCATCACAGTTTATTGAACATACAAAAATGCCCTGACTTCGAGTACATACCCTGTTTTCTAATCGGATTTGGATAGAATTTAATATTAAATGCATCAACATTTTTGTTTTGACACATTGCGCAGTTCTAAGGACGGTTGGACAACGACCTATCTTTGCTTGCTTTTTTATTTCCTACAGAAAATCATTGTTCTGAAAGAAATATAGGAAAATCAATTTATACTTGAAAGACAGAATAGAATAAATGTAATAAGGACTTTGAGACATGTAAATAAATTTTCTATTGAATACTATATATTTTGCATGAAATTTTAAATGTATAAAAAGTGGGAAAATAAAACTAAATTTGATTGGATTTGAGATGTATTTAAAAGAATGTTTTACTTTAACATCATCATAAAACTGAAATTATAAATAAATATTGAATACTGTATTATAATATATGTATTAAATGTGATTTAATTGATTTTATTTGATTATGATTATTTGATAATGGTATAAATTTTTTTGTTGAATTTTTTTTTTGTATGTTTCAGGTTATTTTCATTACTGAGTACATTACTTCTGGATCATTGAAGCAGTTTTTAAAGAAAAGCAAGAAAAATAGGAAGGTCATCCAATCAAAATCTTGGAAGAGATGGTGTACACAAATATTATCTGCCCTCAGGTAACAAGACCTACAACATCTATTGCTCATATTCAAATAAGAAGAAATCATTTGCATTTTTGTACAACAAAGACATATACAATATTATATGAAGAAGGTCTTGGAGAGATAGTCTTGGAAGGATTAAATGCCATTTAGAAAAGCGAACACAAGACTTAAAACGGAAGTGGTTGAATTCAAGTTATTTAATATAGATTTACAGACAGCTTGTTGTTGCACAAGACATATGTTTTTATTGCATTCAATAGTATTGCCTGTGGTTATTATTTAAGGTTTGTTCTGATGACCATCTGTTCCAATTGATTCTCATTTAAATATACAACATTTTGAGCTGAAATTTATCCTGTTTAAATAAAACATCCAGAATACTTCACACTTTGGTTGGCTAAATCATCTTATAACATGTACAGCAGACTAACTTCTCTGTTAGGTTTTTACTTCTTTGGTGTTTCAAGTTTTTTTTCAGTCTGTTAATAAATTTGATACATACCATGGATTTTAACAACTGAACTCTTCTGGTTGAATAGTAGTCAAAACAAGGCCTAGGCTTATAATACAAGTAAAACAATTGTTGACCTAATTTCACTGTGTTTGGGCGACTAATTTTTTGTAGCCTTATTATAAATGTGATGATGATGTATATTTAAGCCAATTTAAAAAATTGATATGGGAATCGAGGTCAATTTTATGACCTAGTTAGAGGAGCATTTTAACAGTTAGTGAATTGAATTATTTGAGGATTTGTTATCTGTATTAAGTTGTTCTCTCTTTATTGATAATTTACCTCCTCTGGTTCATACATTACATAGCAATTTGCACATCCCATCTATAATTTTACTTACGATGCATCATATGGTTAATTTGTGTACTGTACAGTACATGCTGTTAATTGAGGAAAGGAAATGGCCTCATTTGTTGTTGGTTTGTCAATTTAATACCTCTTTGGTCATACTCTGTTGTGCAGGTAGTGTCTATTGGCTTCCAACCAAAAGTAGTTGCTGCATAGCTCTGATCTACAAAGTCAAATTTACTAGCGTGGAGATTCATGCAGTGGGACGTCAATACTTCCTAGGGAATGGGGATGGTTGAACATTGTGTATCCATGGTTACCATGAATCCACAAACTTTTGAGTGACAGATTATAATACTGGTGTAGATTTGAAATTCCTTCTCAATTGCAATGTTATGGAATAACACGACAGATTGTCATTTCATTCATTTATTCTTCATTTCATAAACAAAGTACATATAAAATATAACTAAAAACAAATATACATTATATCGAAATACTGTACAATGAATAAAATACTGGTATAGATTTGAAATTCCTTCTCAATTGCAATGTTATGGAGTAAACATGTTCATTAAAAAGAAGTATCTGCTTCAAGGAAAACTCACTGAAGCATATCGATGAAATCCTTCAGTATTGTTAATAGTATTTTTGTATTCAGATTTATAGGTCTTAAAATGTTCTCGCCCCCCCAAAGTTAATTACCATTCTGTTATACTTGACAGATTCCAACTAATGTTTGTCCATCCACATGGCACCATATTTCTGCATTCTCTGTGACATTGTTTTCTGGTAGAAATTTATGAGATGTTTTTGTTTATCAATGTTTTTTTGGTTTTTTTTTAACTTTCTGTTTTCCATTGTGTGTAAGTGGTTTGGCACATTGGAAATGGTTTGGTTTCCTAACCTCGAGGTCGGGGTTTCAATCCGTCGCTGTGCAATTCGCTTGTGTCCTTAAGCAAGGCACTTTATTATCTCCATTACTTCAGTCTTCCCAGCTATAGATATATCAATGGGAGTGACCTGCGGTAGACTGTCATCCCACCCAAGGGGATCATCATACTCCAATGTGCTGTATGCTAATTAAAACTGGAGATAAGTTCCAGCACCTATGGGCTCTAGTGGCTTGTCAAAGAGTTACTTTTTTTCCATTGAATGAACTAACCATCTGATGTTGAATTGTTAAATATCCTTCTTTGTGTGCTCTCTATTTTTATGAAATATAAATTTTTGAAAATGTTCAATTTTGTTTATCTTCAAGCTATCTACATTCTTGTGAACCACCCATTACTCATGCAAATCTGACGTGTGATGCAATCTTCATTCAGCATAATGGGCTTATCAAGTTTGGCTCAGGTATGAACAATATTATACAATTTCACACTATAGAAAACTTGAATTGCTCTCCAGATGAACTTGTGAAACAATGGATTTTTGATTAATGTTAACACACCTTTCATATACCATTTCAAATTATAGATCACTTTTGGACTAGTGTTTCCATTGTCTTGAGTAGCCTTTGTCTATAATTAAAATAATTAAGATAAAAAAACAAATTTTGTTAATTTGGGACCACAGAAATGTAGTCTTAGTATTTGGAGGGATCGGTTAGAGGGAGACCCGTACTTATTTTTCTATTATATCCCATTTTGAATATGAATATGAACCACTTTATTCCAGTTACATAAAATATAATACAAATTGAAGTTTAATATAAGAATATGAAAGTAATCAGTGGCCAATCAATAAAAAAAAACAGGAAAAATAAACTAACTGAAACAATTAAAATTATCTTGTTAACAGTTGCTCCCTACACAATACAGAAGCATGTAAAGACGTATAGAGAAGAGCAGAAAAATATCTACTATATTGCACCTGAGTATGGAGGTTGGTTTTAAATCCTTCTTTTACATTTCAAACATTAATTCTACTTTTTCTTTCCCATTTGTCTTTCTTTTTATCACATCCTACAATTAGTTGCTACTGGTAATGCTTCACCGTGTGTTTTCGAAGTATTCATTTTTTATTTAACATTAAAGTATATATTTTTGTGTATTTACAACTAGTATGTGGTACTTTTTATTGACATATTGGCATCAATTATGCTATTTATAGTACATTCTTCATTTAATATACACTTTTAAGACCAGATACTCTAATTGCTTAAGATGTTTTTAAGGTACAGTAGAACCTCGATTTTACGTACGGTACGGGACCAGAGGGCGTACGTAAATCGGGGGATTCGTAAAAAAGAGGTTGGGTTAAATTTGTGGTAACCTTTGACCTAGTAATACGTACGTAACGCTCAATAAACGTATGTACGAACGAACTATGATACCTAGGCTAGACCTAGCCTCTAGGCATAGGCCTACGAATAAAACCATGTGTTTAGTGTTTTTATTCATCACTTTACGACGTCATAATAAAGTGTTCAAATAAAACCATGTGTCTAGTGTATTAATTCATCACTTTATATCTTTTATTTAACTAAAATAAAGAACATGAAAATATTGTAAGATTGCCTATACGACAAAGGTATAACTTGGAAATTCCCCTTCATGCCTATTCTAAACAACAGAGATGTGGTATTGTCTGGGCCTGTTGAGACAAACAAAACCCATGTGCGCTGCACTGGGCGAGCCAACCAATTAGCGTTCGTGTACGTGAAACAGCAACCATGTGCTATGCACTGGGCGAGCCAACCAATTAGCGTTTGTGTACGAAACTATGTCTACCCAGCTTCGTGTAGAAAATTCGACCAGACGAGTCTAAGGAGGAAAACAATAATTTTGAGCACCATCGGTAGTTGTTCATCTCACTCAGTTCACGTGGTTTTAGATTATAACAACCCGGTATTAGACTCAATCAACGTTGCTGTTATAATGAAAATACGTTGCATTATGGTTTGTTTATTGTTATACTTTATTGTTATATTCTTTTTACTTATGGTTGCTCTCAAAAGGGCCGTTTGTTTTGAATATTTTCGGGATTTTTGATGACGTCATCGTCCATACGAGGCGTACGTAAAACAGAGGGTTCGTATAACTGGGGTGCGTAAAAACGAGGTTCTACTGTATGTAATTATTTTGAACTGACATGACTTTGCCTACAAAAGTAGTTAGGTTTTTTTTTGTTTTTTACATAGGTTTTCCACTTATTAAAACGAAAGTGGCCAGCTTACTATAGTAGATTGTATTTAATTACAAACTTGCAACTATAAAAAGAAATATTTAGACAAGGGAATTAATAGTTACTAAATTAAGAATTCCAATCTATATATGTTAAATTAAGGTTAAAGGTTAAGAAATGGTAAACACAGCTTAACGTTGATTACTATAGGATGATGGACCGCTTACTTGTGATTGGATGATTCCCTTCCAACTTGAACTCACTCGTTATCTGACATTATTCCGCTGAGCCTAAGTTTGATAGATGGTGGATACGTGAAAATTTATCCTCCTCTAATGTTTTCTAATTCAGGTTTGACAGATATAAATGTTTGGTTTACGGCATTGAAAGACAGTTTAATTAGAGTTGGTGTTTATATGTCACTTATGTAATCAATAAATTTTATATGTTTCATACAAGTTCTTCATGACTTATTTTGTTTAAATTTAATCAATAATTTTGTTAAGTTTTCTTAAACTTTCAAACAATTATGTTACTAATCCAAATATTTTAATATTCCTAGAATAATAATAATCAAAATAGTAGTGTTAAAATTAATTTTGTTAATATTTACATATTTGAATTTTGACAATGAAGGTCTATTGTTTGTTTATAACCCTTGACCTTCATTTTAGACGTGCACATTCAAGACTACAAGATAGCTTTCCAAATATTAGAATTTTACCACAGAACAATTATAATATGCTCAGAATTGATTAATACAGCAGAAATGTAATAGATTCTCTTTACTGTTTTGACTTTTAACAAGTCTGCCTCTGTGTGATTGGAAACCAAAATCTGAAATTTTAATACTGTTTGTGTTATTTCCACAAAACAAAATATAATGTGTTACAGTACTACTACTCCCACACACACTTAATTACAACACTCCAGAATCTGAAATAATTATCGCTTCACGTTTATTAATTATTCAAGGAAATTCTAATACGTTGTGTACAAGCTGTTGCTAAGATAAATTGGTTCCATTGTAACTATTCTGTGTACATTTTTTGTTTTAATTGTTTCCATGTATGTATATATAGTACTCTAAAATTTGTATATACATTGTTTGCATTTAGATTTTTCAATTTACCTGTGATATCAATGCATACTATTGCATGAAAACTACCATGAGAGAAGTGCTCAATAACTCTTCCTCTCTGTACTTATTTATTAATATCAGTTATTTATTCAACTATTTAGAAATCATGGAAATTTGTGTTTGTTTAAATTAAAGAAAACATTGTAAATATGTTTCTTGTTAAATTCAGAAGTAACTGGGAATAGTCACTGTGGCCTTTGCTGCAATCGTAAGTAACCTGTATACATGACACGTCAATATTTTGTCAGTTTTCCCTGTGAATTCTGTGATGATTTGAATCTTTGCATTAAAGTCTAATCACTTAGGCCTCCAACAACCTATTAAATCCCTCTTTAATTTCAAATCTCTGCCCTTAATAACACCTTAAAAAATGACTTGCTATCTGTATCTGTATTTTAATACTAATCTGCATGAAGGTATATTTCATATTAATATTTGTATGAACCAGTAGTATTTAAATAGAACTATTTTTCCCCTTCAATAATAAAACCAAAGTGGAATATTTCAATATGATAATCCAATTGAAATATTTCACCAGAGGAAACATGAGGAATTGTAACTATAAGTCTTTGTTGAAAGGCTTCCATACTGATAGGTTAAGAGATTGTGAATTTGACACTCGCTACTGTTCTTCCTTGTATCTTTTAGACAAGGTCCTTTTATATGCATTTCGGTCTACTCAGTAAGTTAAATGGGTACCTGATAGGTGTTTTATACTAACCAAGGTATTTCTAGTTGACCTAATGATATTATGTCAGAATTCTTCTTTTTATATGCTTGTTGAAAGTGTAAACATCCTGATCTCTGCAAACATCTATTGGTTTTGATACAAGCTCTACTGTACTAATAATAATAATAATAATAATAATAATAATTTATTGACAGTCAATTTATATCGGCGGCACTCAACAAGCTGTGTGTCAACTACTACAAATGACTTACTGTAGTGTAAATGTTTAACTAACAACTTAAATTGAATAATACACCAGGAAAATAAAGTCCGCTTAAGAGTGACTACTTTTATATATAAAAAAAGAACAGATTTGGTTATCGCCCACAGTGGCCTAATGCCTATGCACTATTAAGTGGTTGTTCACAGGGCCCCCGACCCATAGAACCCCCGAAGGGCCCTACCCGTAGGATTACGCCGCTGATCGCCCTGCATCATAAACCAATATGGTATACTACAAACCCACATTTTCGTGCGTTCCCACTATAACGAGGATGAGACCATACCGGGCAAAGAGAGTTGACATGCATGAAGGGATGCCAGCCAGCTCGGTCTGGTGAAGCTCTTATTTGAGTATACCCCACATGACATGTACTTGTACTTTAAATGGAATGAGATGGATCCATTTGACACATTTACTCTCATTGGGAACGGTGGCGTTCTCTACCATTGCGAGTTCAGGTATGAATTATCTCAAGAACATTCACGCTAAAATGAGGGGACTCATGTTCTTTGGATTAAAGAATTAATTTTTTGTAATATAATATATTTTGTGTAAATTTACCCCCTTTTTTCATTAGAAACAAGTTCTTGCCACTAGGGTCAATATGGCTTTTTTCATTTGATCCCATATTGCATCCCTATTGTTAGCGATATATTTCCTGTATAACTTCTCCATCTTTCTTTTCCATCTCGTAATTCTTTTAAACAACAGTGCACTGTTATTGCACTGTTGTTATAGCACTGTTGTTATAGTGAATGTTTTATTCCAATTTTTACAGATATTCATTATAGTGTTTCTGAAAATCTGAATGTGCTTGATTTACTTCTTTTTTAAATTACATTTTTCAAATATTTATTATACTAAAATTTTTGTTTATCATAATTATTTTTTTCCATGTTGATCGTGATCGATATTTAAAAAATTTGTTTATGTTTACATTCTTTCATTATTACTAAAATATAAGCAGTTATTTTACAAATTACAATCATTCTTAGATATTAGTGAATTGGCTATAAACTGTTGCCATCACAGGTCACCTGACCTCAACTGCTGTTATTACTTTGGTGAATTTGATGATGGCTTTTGATAGATCAGTAGATATTACTAACAGTGTGAATTGCATCCTAAATAAGGTAAAACTGAAGACATTTAAAGTGGCTTTTCCACAGAATAGCAACGTCCACACTCCATGGCTTCTTGAGACCTAAATATCCTGAGATTTCAGTACTGTGATTGGTTGCAATGCATAATGCCTTAATTATTAAAGAGCGGATATCTAAAGTAGACCTAACTCCCCAGGGTAATTAATCAATGTTTACACAGTTCCCTTAGAGCCTGATTTACTCGCTGCCTCAGTATCCTCATTATGTAGCCTAGCGGTTTATAGTGAATGTGATGAGAAATTAGCATTGAAAATAATTTATATACCGTATATTCTTTTGTATAAGTCCAGGCTTAAAATAGCAAATTACAATAGAAAAACAAGGGGTCGTTTTATACGCACAACACATACAAATTCTGTACGGATCATCCGTAACAGGCAAATTATCTACTGAAATGAAGCTACTAATTCTTAGTATGAATTAATGCAATTTAAAATGCAGGGAAATAAGATTTTGATGAACATGCAATAAAAGCCAATGAAATCCTTTTTTTTTTCCAAAAAATTAGCCATATTTGGCTCCGTTTTTAGCCAGCTCAATTCAATTCAACAATTAATATTATTAAAATAGATAATTAGCATTAATAATTGTATTCAAATTTTGATATTTAATTATTTAACCTAATATAATGGTAATGATTATAATGTATAAAAATAGTAACTATATAAACTAAGTTGGTTAATTTAATATCATTAATATTCTTCTGCACAAATCTATTTCTTGCCCTATGAATGCCTCTTTGCACTTACGTATAATATGCTAGTAGCTTGTTTGCAATATTGTTCTTGTAAAGCAGCATACGGTTTATTAATTAAATAATCCTAGCAGATAACAACATGGACTATATATAGCATATATACTTTTATGTTCATTTTAATTGTTTCTTTTGGTGTTTGGTGCAACCATATGGTAATGTATTGTAGTTGACCATTGAGAATATTTTGGTGTACTTATATCTGTATATACTTACAGCTAGTTTAATTAAATTTTCTTTGAATAGCTTATCCTGTTAAACTATGAACTTTATATTGTGAATAATCATTATTACGTAGGAAATATTATGATTACATTATTAAAATGACAGAATTTCAGTTTCGGTAAAACTAAAAATGGTGATGCAAATTGAAATAGCATCATTACATTCAAATGAACTTCAAATTATAGAGCCAAAAGGTAGAGGTAATACAAATATGATGACAATTTCAAGATTTGTTGAGGTCTCAACTTCCTCATATAGACCGAGATCAACAAGCTCACCATATTTGGGTGTGTAGGAAAATGTATACTCTATTGTAGACTAAACCACAAATTACCATTCTAGTACTGTAGTCAGAAACTACAAAGCCTAATTACCCTTAAAATTTCATCCTTTTTATGGGCATGTTTTTGGATACACAATTTGCATTACTTTTTCTTCAGATACTTGTAATAATACAGTAATTCTAACCAGTAATCTATGAATTGTTTGAAATTAAAAAATAATTAATTTGAATCATTTACATAGAATGTTAAATAGTCTACCTAGGGAGTACTACGTCATTGTACCATGTGATACCGCTTCCTTAGTAAGCATCTATCTACTACTACTAAACAGTCTAAGGCCAGTCGGTGCCACGGTTTTCACAGCATTTTCAACTAATATATCAAAACTTAAATTACCGATTGAAAACAAAATTGTGATCAATTGTTCAAGTAAGTTAGTAGGCATTAATAAAGATAGAATGTTGTAAAATTGTGTATAAAAATTTACATCATTTTAAAGGTTGTGGAGAATGTGGTTAGCTATAGAATGCACTCGGCCGTATTGACCACTGGGGTAGTGTTGCTTAGTAACGAAGAGATGTCACATGTAGGTGTAACGTCAGTGATGTACTCTGTTGGTTTCTTTATTCTTCACTATTATAAGCATGTTCATTGGCTGTCTATTTGTGATGTCAATGCCGTGTATTTCTTGCCTCCTTGACGTTTATAATAAAACCTAGTGTCTGTCTTGTTTTATAATATAATATTGTATGACGATTTTGTCCTTGAGTGAATTTTTTATTGATAAATATTCTTTTAAAATGATGATTGTTTCTTGAGCTCAATCCTTGTTTATGCAGAATGTACATAAACCATGTACATAATTTGAATTGTTTTTATTTTTTTTATAATTATCAAAAATAACTTACTTGTTTGTTCCCAGTACATCAGAATGTGAGGCTTATCCTATTGTCAGGGTTAACGATGCTTTACTTGTAATGATCACTGCTGGACAAGCGGTCAGGGCTCCTGTCCGTGAAGATGCCTTAAATTTTGATGAAATAAGCAAGCTCTCCCCTTTTTTTTTGTTTTTTTTGTTTTTTGAGTTTTTTTTTGCACATTAAAAAGGGTTTGAAATAATCAAAATCTCTGCTAGATCGTTTTTTAAAGTGCCATTAAAATAGCAAGTAAATTTGCTGCGAGATGCTAATGAACAGAAATGATTTTGCCAATTAAAGTACAGTACAGTATTGTGGTTCATAAAACGAAATCAAGTGCATTATGTCATAAACTATTTTTATCAGTATAAATGTGACAAATACAAAGCGGGAGCACAAAGCTAAAATGCTTGCATAACAATACGTAAAAAATAGTAACAAAAATCACCAAACAGAACAGTATGAACAAAATGACATATACAGATGTGCCTTACTGATATATACAAAAATACAAGTATATTAAGACTAAGTTGATGATTAGAAAATTAAGATACAAAAAATATAAAACTGTACAATATTACAAAAGGATAGAGCTACATTATAAATAGAAAGAATAATATTTGCAAAACAATATTAATATCAAAGTCAAACTAAATATTGTTTAAAGGTTTGCATGACTAAGTAATAGTATATACTAATGCTTGCCGTACACCACGTAGATAGTTCTGAAAAGAACTGTTGCTGGTTGAGAATGTTTTGGCGTTTTTATTGAGTTGCTTCTATCGTCTTCAGGAGAATAACAAATTCAAACAATTCTTAAATTTAGGTATTGATGATTAATTAATTATTAAATTGCACAAATTATTTGAATTAAAAAAATGTACAAAAATAACAATATACAAAATAATTTTTGAGTACAATTAAATTTCTTTGAAAATACACTTAATTATTAAAATTATTAAATTGCAGAACATATAACAATTAAGTAACAACAAATCTAATGGAATTATCATAAAAGAAATTACACATAAAATATAGATGAGTTTCAATTGCTGTAAACCATAGCAATGGTTGTACAGCCACTTTAACATACTGTAAACAAATGTTGTCCTTGACCTTCACTGAAATTAAATTGATTTTCAAGGAATTTACATTAATTCCTTTACAATATTTTGGAGAGACATACATATTTATAACGTTTTAGCAAATTTTATTTATTTGTATTCAAATTAAGTCGGCACAATAAATTTGTTTATATTTAATTATCTGTATCTGTTAAATTTTCCCCATGATATAAATTTTATTGTGTGTAATTTTTTCTAATTTTCCATTATTTAAAATGTATTTATATATTTGTAGTGTATATAAAGAAAATTATGATGATTATCTTTCAGTTTGTAGTGGAAAAAAAACATTGCCCCCCCCCCCCTTTATGGCTTTTGAAATGATGTATTTATTTTTATATATGAAATCATACTTTATATTTTTTAACAATTGTTAATGCAGGTAATGTTACACATTATAAATGAGAGTAATTCATCTAGGCATAGGGAATATATTTAGCTTTTCATGGTAAGAACCAGCCTTGATTGAAGCCAGTAGTGAGTGAAGTTTAATATATTTAGATTTATTTGTTTTAAATTACAATTTATTAGCATCTATTTTAGTGGTATTTATACAAAATAACATTGGAGGTAAATTTGATGACGTCATGATTGATGTCATATTATGTTATTTATTTCTAACCACAATACAAATTTATTTTTGGTACTGTATTCCCTATTGAAATAGTACTTTTAACTGTAAATGTCAATGATAAAAATACACATTTTCTTAGTCTAAAATTAATGTTCAACATAAATTTGAAAGCTATATTTGTATTAAGATCAATTTATAAATTCTGAAAGAAAGGTTTTATAAATTAAGAACAATATTTATTGATAGAAATGGTACTTATCGATGGTTTTTTAAATACCATGTTTTGCTTTTATTACATTGAAAAAAATAACTGGAAATAATGTGTTTTCTTAAATTCATTTCAGATCCATCACAAGTCACCACTGCTGTGGATATTTACTCATTTGGGATCTGTGCTCTCGAGATGGCTGTACTAGAGATCCAAGGCAATGGTGACAGCAACAGAATCTCCAAAGAAGCTATCACAGCTGCTCTCAACTCCATAGAAGATCCATTACAAAAGGTAAAATGATGATGTTAATCTATGAATATGCACTGAGTTCTATTATTATAATGGCTGAATAGCTAATCAGCAAATCATACAGAAAAAAGTGGAGCCACAAATGCCAGAGCCAAGTGAGGTACCTGTCTAGATAATTGTTTGTTAGCATTTGTTTAAATTACCAATTCTTGCAATACTTTATAATAATAAATTTAAATTTTACAAAATGATTTTTTTTTTACATCCTTTAACCACCTGTTTGTGCAGTTTGCAGAAGAGTGAGCAATGCTGCGTTGTTTTGATCAACAGGGCTCACAAGTTTTACGCTGTGATGATGTACTGCATCTGTGACATTTTTGACTCTCCAACATGTCATCAGTGGCTTCACTAAAACCAGCCAATGAGCAATCCAGCCATTATGATAGAGATCAATGTGAATATGTAATAACAGTGGTTCTAGAGGATCCATAACAAAGATCGGATAATGATGCTACAATAATAATCTGATAATGATGCTACAATAATAATCTATGAATGTGTAAGAAAAGGGATTCTAGAGGATCCATAACAAAAGATGGGAGATGCTACTATGATAATCTATGAATATTTTAAGTGATTTTAGGAATACTTATAGTACAAAAGATGGGATGATGATTCTATATATTTCAGTATGCTGAAAGTATGTTTAAAATATGGATTCTAGAGGATCTGAAATATAATATACAGTAGTATTTATGAAAAAACCCTAGAGGATCCATTTCAAAATATAAGATGTTTATGCAATGTTGAAGGATAAGGTTTTGTATAAACGGTAAGGGATTCAACAAGATCAACATAGTGTGCTATGTGAAACTCTGTTGATCAGTGATCAATGGCGCCACCAGCGAGGGACATGGTGGCTAAAGTGCTCTCTACCCTGCATCAGTTTTTTATTCTGTCATAATACATGGTAAAATGTATAATTAAAATGGTCCATTATTTCTCTGTTTTTGTAGCCACATGGGAATTAGCTCTCTAGGCCCCCACCAGGACTTCACCCTTAGACCCTCTTTGTCTGTTCTAAATTATCAGACCTCTCATCAAACAGCTTTGCCCTCTTCCCCCCAGAAGGCAATTGCATGCGCCACCATAGGTGTTTGAAGGATGTCTGACTGTCTCAGTAAACGTACATTTTAATCCAAGATCACAAACCACTTGTACAGTATACCACAAATATTAAATTCCTAAATGTTTTAACAGGTATTTTGAAATTTTACAAATTAATTTGTTTCTGTTTCTAGGATTTCATTGAGAAGTGTCTGGAGGAGGATCCCAAGAAAAGAATAACAGCACGGGAACTACTTCTACATAAAGTTCTCTTTGAAGTTCACTCACTCAAACTGCTGGCAGCTCATAGTGTTGTACAATATGAACGTAAGATCAGTATTACATGTCACCATTTCTATATACTATTATACAAAGTAACAATAATAAAAATATATTAAGACAATATATAACACAGAGATATAATAATAATTTTCTATAAAAAAAAAATAGAAGAATTAACATTTTTTGTAAATTAATAATATAGAAATTTTTTGCCAAGGGACGCAAGGCACAAAATTCGATTTTAATTTGCTCCATTGATAAATGTTAAATTCATTCGTTCTTGAATTTCATATTGTTTATGGTTATCATTATTTTTTTTAAATAATGAAAGAAGATATTCTCAGAGGAAGCAAGCATTAATAATTCCATTTTAAACTATCACTTTTCTGTCAGCTATGAAAGTAATATCCAACATCGTGACCTACTGTATGATAATGTCAAATTTCATTCATGTTAAGCCGAAAATAAGGGTTGTTTCTCACTCAGTAGCTTTCAATCCGCATTCTCTGACCTTCTTCAGCTGAGTGACATTGGCATTTAGTCAATGCCTATGTCACCAATGATGTAATGATGATGATTGCGCTCTGTGGTGATGCACAGCAGAATGTCCACCGTCCCCTCCCCTTCTCCTGGGCCTGGGGGTTGTTGTAGGAGCTTGTACGCCTCTGTCATCGCTGTTCATGGTGTTCTTGTCACCATTACATCATCGGTGACATATACATTGGCTGCACAGGCCAATGTCATTTAGCTGAAAAGGTCAGAGAATGCGGATTGAAAGCTACTGGTAAGAAACAACCCTTATTTTTGGCGTAACATGAATATTTGATATTATCTTACAACACTTAAAGCTAAATGAAATTATTTAATCATTGTGACCTATGATAATAACTTTGCAATGAAGAATAATTTCCACTCATATCAATAAGATAATTTTTTTTATTTACGTTTTTCTATTTAAAAAAAAACAAAACTATTATCCTGTTTAAGAAGTAGTTATGATTCAAATGCTTTTGTCATAATAGCCCATATTTATCCTCTCATATATTAATTACTTGTAAATCCTGAATTCTTGTACATCGTATTCTTTCCTTTAATGTACTATGATGCTACGACCAAAATTTATTTTTTTAACTTGTACAATTCCTGAAATATATTTAATTTGATTTTGATGCAGAAATACCAGAAAATTTGATGGAAGAACTTAATGCAAACCAGTCCCCTGATGCTGTTTTAGCAACAATATCACACAGTGACGGCCGGGAAGGTGTTCACTTGAAGTAAGTGTTATATTAATACTTTCCAAAGCTGAATTGTAGTTGTGCTCTTGTGTCATAAAAGTGGGATTAAGTGTAGCAAAGAAAATAATGTGGAAATGGAACCATTAATGCATTAAAAAAAAACAAACAACCCATAAATGAATTGCATGATGAAAAGTAATCTGATTCAGAACACATGTTAGGTAGAATTTAGCATGTGTCCCCTATTATATCACATCCACATAAATGCGCATTTTTGTAAGATTAGCATATGCCTCTTGTAATATAAAACAGGCAATGGCAGGGGATGCAACATTCAAATGTAGTGTTTACGTGAATCTTTGGATTGAAATGTTGATTGCCACTTGTTAGATGGGATGACATGTTATCTGTACCAACATTTTGCAAACTTTTAGACTTACGACCCTCCAGTTCGGAAATTCAAATGCGAATCTAAACCCATTTACATCTTACAGTATGCACAATGCCAAATTCAGAGAGCTAGAGGACTGGGATTTAAAATTTAGATTAAAATAAGTTAACAATGTATAAACAAGAACAAATATTACAATGAATTTATAATGAACAATGATGATTTCCCACCCAAAAAAAGCAGAAAAACCATCGTGGAGAAAAAAAAATTGTATTTTCTTCATATTAGTAGAATATTTACCTATAAAATCAATTAAAGAAGCCTCTGAAACCCATAAATTGTCATATTTTTGGGGGGAATTTGCACGCTGCACCACTTTGAGACATTTTGAACGACGCCCAACCACGCCTACCTAGCATATTCCCCCAAATTTTACCTTTCCCCTCACTTGCCTCCCCCTCCCCCCTGCATCCAGATTTCAGACAATGTTCAAATTATCATAATGCCTATAATATTAAGTGACAGAATTGAGCTAGCTGATTTTCGTAATTTCTGCAAGGGTAAGTGACCCACCAAAATATTTTGGTGACCAACAGTTTATGGAACTTCGGTCTATACTATTGTTATTGATATGTTTGTCAGATAAAGTTTTAGAAATTCTAACCATGCCTCAATGTAGTTAACTTAGTAGAAAAATTACCTTTGTTAGCGTCTGTAGAATATGTTATTTACTATAAAATTTGAAATCGCCAATATCTATCTGTATTGCATACACATTATCTAGCGCTCATTAAATTGCAGTTGTTTCAGACAGTTTTGGTTTTAAATTTCTTGTTCCACTTTGTTTACAGAATATCAGATGTTCCGTCTCTAGAATTGGAAAAATTCCTAGAGGATGTTAAGTAAGTAAAAACTGTCATTATTGCTAATTGCTTCATTTCTGACAGGATATTTAAGCATAGTAATTTTCTTGGTTTTTTTTTTGTTTTTTTTAAGTCTGATTTATTGGATGTCTACTTGTGTAAAAGCTTTATTTCATATTAATGCATATTTTTATATTTTATATTTTGGTTGGTAATATATCTTGATAAAAACATTTATTGATAAGTTGATAAGAAATATTTCACTGTTCTCCAAACATATTACAGAAATAACTCATTCAAATACCAACCACATTAAGAGTGTTTTCGAAAAATGTATGGCCATTTTTAATATGTCTTTTGATTGCCAAGGAACATTTTTTCTCATTTTAGATTTTAATTGATGTAATATAGGGGGCTGTGTTAACCAGCAACTAACAGATAACAACACTTACTAAATACTTATTAATCTCTAACTTACAATCACACAGTGATCTTCATTAGGTGAATCAGATTGGATGAAATTCAATCTTATATACAATTACAAATAGAACAATAGAGGGTGTATTCTCTGCATGAAAAATATCAATTATAATGAGTAGGCATGCAAGCCTAACTAAATAAAGAAACAAAGAAACAAAGGTTGTATAACTCCAACTCTAGGTGTCTATCATTGTGCTTCCGAAGCTGTAGCTCCACTCATGTTATAGTTTATCCCAGTATAGCCCCACCCATTTTCTGCACTTATTAAGGTTACAGCATGATAAACTATCATGTTTTTGTTTATTTGTCTTCACAGAAATGGAATCTATCCCTTGACAGCATTCAGGATGTCACATACACAATTATCACAACCACGTCCACAGTCACCTGAGATGGCGGAGTCTGTTAAAAGCACAACTCCCGAACCAGTTGACATGGAAAGCCGGCTAATCAATTCCATGATCTGTACCCTCAAACACCTAGAAGCTGGAACAGGATTACATGTAAGTTGCTTAAAATACAGTGCACCCTCCGAATCGAAACCACACTAATTCGAGACCACTTTTCAAGGAACCAAATAACAATCTCCAATATATTTAACACTAAACTAATTAGACTGAACTTTGAGACAACCCCAAATTTTCAGGTCCCAAGGATGGTCTCAAACTGGAGGGCAACTGCTTAATATTTTTTTATCTCAGTCTTCCAGTCTCCAGTAGGCCTCCTCCAGTAAACATCACATTTTTTCCAGGAATCAGGATTTCACCAGGATTTTATCAACTTTTTTCAACTACTGTATGTCTTAGGCTAATTTACATTTTTCTATTCTTATGCAGACATAGAGTACAGTATCAAACATTTTGGGCAGCAATAGTTCTTTATCTACAATTCTTTATTAATCAAGAATTTAAGTTTTTCTGTTAATTTTTTTTTTTTGTGCATGTTTAATTATTAATTGTATGTTTCTTTATAATAATGATAAGTCGGTCTTATATTGTGGTAAATTTCAAGATCTTGCATATCATAGTTCTTTTATTTAATAGGAATAATTCACATGCTTATTATCTAAAGAAAAATGTTTTAAGACTCAACTATTGAAAAATTTCTAGAGACAGTGTTGTTACAAATTTTGTTATAATGAATAACTTAATCTTTACAGATGGAGTTAGCATTAAAGATGGATGATAAGATGAACAGAGAACTGAGCTGCGAGGTGCAAAGTGGTATGTTGGATTAATTAGTAGATACCTAATTTCTGTATTGTATTTATTTATTTATTTTATAACACATGCATCAAGGAATGTCAATAGCGATATATCACTGTCCTACTTGTAGGTGACAATCCCTTTCACATGACAAATACACACACGACGCTTTGCACAAACTAAGTCTCAGTATGATGTTTAGGGAGTGGAGTCACTCCCTAAACATCAATGCTGGCAGGAATTAAACCCAGGACGCTGGGATTGGAAAGCAAGCATCTTAACCACCAAGCAATTCAACTCCACTAAATGAGGCTGGCCATCACCAAACCAGCATACTGTCGCTAAATGTTGAACTAAGTAATTAGCTCAAGAATGTTGCAGTATTGTATACTTTAGTTCAGAGAAGCTGTAATACATTATTTGTAACTGTAGTAATAATAAGTCAATTCCAGTAACTTACCTATCATTTTAAAGCTTTTAATGTGGAGAATATGAGTATGTTAAAAAGTCAATTTTCTTGTTTTAGCCACTGATGCTGTTTTTTGGCATGGCAAGCCCCAAATCTGATCTCTATAAATTTTGTTTAAAATATGATTTTTTTTTTTACGATGGATAAATATGGATATTATGATGGATAAATGCTTATACAGAGAGATACAGATACCTTTATTTCAAAGATAAGGTACAATTATGAGATTCTCCTTCCTTAATTTCTTTAATGCAAATCTAGTCCAGTACAAAAAATAAATATAATAAATAGCACACATCACAAAAACAAATTTTGACTACTTGAATACCACCTACAACATACATTATCTTCTTATTAAATTCAATTGTGTTGACAATAATAGCAGGAAATATTATTAGTGTAATTTCAATTAGTTCTTATTGTAATCGGAATTTTAAAAATAATAATATAGTTTACTATACTTCCAAGTTTTTTTTTGCTATCCTACCAACTTCTTCAGAGAGACTGATGTGATTACATATATCTATTTGTCACACGATCATTCAAGCATGAATTTAAATTTGAATTACTCTTCATATCCGCTGTTAAGGGTGGGTGTCTGGTCCTAATTGCCATAGACTCTCTTATCTTCCTTGGCCAGTACTTCTCTTCTCAGTGAACGGTCATATTCCTATGAACGATTCTGTGATTGGTTGCTTTTATATTACAAATTGAAATTACGCCATCAAAATTATTTTTTATGTGTTCTACTGCTGTGAGTGTTTTTCATTTGCTTTTTTTGCGTGTTCAGAGAATCGTGATTCAAATTATCTGGCAGTTTCACCTACATATTTTTCACCGCATGAACAGTCAATCAGATATAGCGCCACACGTTTAATTCTGTTGTTGATTGAGGTCCTTTGATTCAATTAGTGTAGTCAAATTATGGAAAAAGTGATCATTGGAAATCATTGTTAGCTGTCCAAAAGACTGCTGAATAGCTTGCTAAATGGTTGCAATTTATTATTACAATATTAGTAACAACTACTGAAAGAGATATGCCTTGATTTAGTGTTGAATTGTCACATGTAGGATTTCAGTTGAGCCAAGTAGATAATGTCAAAGATGATGTGGTTTATTTTTAAACATAGTTTATCATTATACCTGATAATATGCAAGAGGAGAATTAATCCATTTATAAACTGATTTATTTATTACAGATGAAAGTCCCCTTTTACTTGCTACAGAACTAGTAGAATTTGGTTTTATCAGCGTTGTAAGTATTTTTTGACTTTTTAAAAAATCACATTTAATGGGAGTAATCCATATAAAGTATGTTAAAACAAAGTGTGCAATGCATACTGTAAAACCAGAAAATTTTGCGGCATGAATTGCATATTGATAATTTCGGCCGTTTTCGCAATATTAAACTTTCGTGAATCGCAAAAGGCCTAAATTTTATTCATTAGAGGAATAGCATACAATAGCTGAAAATATCGTTTCGTGAGTTCTAGGCCTAGGTAAGATAGGCCTACAGCCACTGTCTAGGCTACAGTAGCTAGGCTAGGCATCTTAAGCCTGCAGCCCTCAGCTGGAGAACCAGGAATTAGCTGGCCATCCAGCACAGTTAAGTAAAAGACAAGTTTACACACATACAGTACTCACTCATACATATGATATTCCTAAACTTTGTATAGTATTCAATCATCCTACAATGAACAATGTTTATCAAAACGTGTGTTTTATTAACAAGTAATATTCCTACGCATTTATTAATGATGACTGAACATCGTGGTATGTCATGGTGTACGAAAATTAGATTCTATTTTAACTTCTTAGTATACACTGCAGAGTGGTTGCACATGTCCAATCACATGCAGTGATGATCAGAACCTTCCTGATCAGTATACAGTACTTACTAAGAAGGTTAGGATAAGCCTAGAATTTACAAATTTTTCGATGCCAATATGAGATGTTAAGATCAGAATATTGATTCAATAATTGATATACATTCTATTAAGTTTATACATATTTAATAAAATTCACCAAAATAATAAAAAATACAATTTTTTAAATTGCTAAAGTTGTTACCTCTTCACAAACATGTTACAATTTGTGGGGATTCCCCATTTAGGCCTAGGTCCTAGATCTGTATTGCATCGTCGTCGGCCAGTTTAGGCCTTGAAATACCAACAATTCGTGCTGTTTATTGTTCATTATCATCTTTAAAAAATTGAAATTAATTTTTAGTGTATAATTCAGTGATTTATAATGACCAAAATCTCATTTCTGAAACTGATTTGACATTCAAGATGATCAGATAGTACTCTACTGATCTTTTTTGAAACATAGAAAATGTGACGTGAAAATTATTCGTGGCATAAAACTTTCGCGAATTTGGGCCATTCACGAAATTCGCGAAAGTTTAATGCGCACGAAATTTCCTGGTTTTACAGTATATATAAATATATAGATAAAATTAACCATTATACCCTGAAATTGTTGTCATTTTGGGCCAAATTTGGTAAGTTTTGTTGAGGCTGGTGGTAGTAGTGATGATGATTATGATGATGATGAGAATGAGAAGGATAATAATGGTTTCTAGTTCACATACACAGACAGACACCTACTCACAGACGTGTGCTATTGCAATACCCTTAAGAGGAAGAGAAGTGCGATGAGGCTGGTGATGAGCATGATGATAATAAGTGGTAAATGATGATAGTAATGAAGATGATAATGAGAAAGATGGTTAGAATGATAAAGGGGATGAATATGATCAGGAGAGTGGTGCTGGCTTATAACAGCATGGTGATAGCAGTAGTTAAGATAAGGAGAGATGTGTCTTTATTTATCTATGTAGCAGTGAACGCAATTTGATATAGTTTTGGTTGGTGATTCAGGTGTTGTTTCGATAGTGATGATAATGGTGATGATGATATTGTCATTAACAAATCATGATGACAATGATAAGAATGAAAATAGCAAATTGCGGTTTATAGTTGATTCATGTTTTTGTTTTGCCTCGCAATTAAACATATTTTTAATGTTTTCATTCTCAGGATGACAAGCAAAAAGTAGCCAACAAAATTGAGACAGAAATCAGCAAATTCTTAACAAATTCATCCGTGATGGTGACAACATAACAGAGGGTGTCACTATACACAGAAGATACAATGCACTCCAAATCCAATTTATAACCTATCACCAAAGGCCAGCAAGATAATTGAGAGATAACCAGCTGGAATCGTCCTCATCAGATTTTTAAGTTAAAAACACTCCGTCGTCGTCGTAGTAAAAACCCTTTGAGAGACAGGGCCTTAGAAAGTGCTTCAACAGCTGTAGATTCCCCAGGAGAAAAAATTTATTCAGCTAGTAGTCTGTTCCAAAACAAACAACAGCAGCTATCAGAAGTTCGACGTATGAGGCATTCCATTCCAAAACTGGTGTACTGTTGCTATATGTTAATCATAAGCAAGTGGCAGCATTGTATACTTTAGTACAGAAAAGATGTAATACTTTAGCTCATAACTTCGTCAATTTCAGTATAATGGCCCATCATTTTAAAGCTTATGTGGAGTATATGAATATATTAAAAAGTCAATTTTCTTGTTTTGGCTATAGATGCTGGTTTTGGAATGGCATGCCCCATATGTTTAAAAAATGCCAGCTTTACAAACTGAAGTCGGTGATCTAACCTACCATGTTTAAGGTCATGGTTTCCTATGAATTTAAAATGCATCTAGTTACCAAGGCGATTGCAATTATATGGAAAGCTGGAACCAATATGTAGAAATTCATAATTATTTATCTAGGGGGTCTTCTCTATGTTGCAAGTGCAACTGTAGTTACCTTAAGTTTTTATAAAACATTTCATTCAAAATGGACCATGCTAAGAGTTTATTTTTCATTGTAACAAATTTTTTTATGTAGTGGCATTACCATGTATACCTGTTGTGAGACAATGGGGTTTTTTTGTTTTATATTACTATAACATTTCCATAACCCTTATGTAAACACTCCATTTTTAAAGAGTGTACTGGGTTTCGTAAGGCAAGGACCGTTTTATAAAGTAAATTGTGCTTCATACTTAATGCTAATCGATTGTCTCTATGGTTATTGATCTAGTTGCCATGCTAAATCTGTCACCATGATGATTGGTCTTGTTGCCATGCTGATATTGTTTTTGTTGCCATAGTTTGACTTATCACCATGGAAAATTACCATGGGTATAATTTTTCCAGCAAAACATCTTTTTTGGTTCATCCATAGGTACATCATAAATTCAGTTTTATATTCCAAGTGTTGCAGAAAGTATCCATGGAGATTTCAATTAGCATCAAGTATGATCTTTGACGCCAACATAAATTGGTACATACAAATAGTTGTTATTGTTTTTTCCCCAGACTACTTGCAAATGCTTGGCTTATTTATCACATCTTCCAAAAACTTATCTGTTATCAGTCTCTGGCAAATGTGTTAACAGTTGACAGATGATTCTGAAATGTTGAATGCTAAACCTCTGACCTTAGTTGAAGGATTGTATATAATATTGTTAGGGTTTACCAGAAGAAAGTGCTGCATATTCAAATAAGTGTCTAACAAACTGGGAAATATATTGTTTAGCTGTTAAGCATTGTTTTTATCAATACTATTGCTATTAGTACTAAGCATTATTTTTGATTAAAAATCATTAATGTACAAATTAGGATATTTCTTGTTTTGTTTTTTAATATTTCCATGGCGTGGCGATGTTGCCATGTCCCCTACCCTTCTTAATAAAACTTTTAGTTACAAATTCAATCAAAATTCTATTTCTAAGAAATTCTTCTGTTTTGGATAAAAATTGACTATAGATTCATGTTATAGAAGGTTCTAGATGAAAAATAAAAATAAATAAATTGGCAAGAATGTTGATGCTTATTAGAGCAAATTAATGCTATTCGTAATTGGTGCTATGTAGAATACCACTAAAAGAATTTTGACAAACACAAATCTCAAATTGTGAATGTGAAATATTATATGGGTCACATAGATGAAATATGTTTAAAGCAGGCAATCCTGGAATATTCCATCAATAAAAAAATATTCTCCTAGGAGGTTAAATTGTTTTTTTTTGGTTACTCTAATTTATTGGTTGTCTTCATAAAGTTTGGTACTTAACAGAAATGTCCCAGACTCAAGTGTACCCATGTGTGACATGAAGGTTATATGTCAAGTAAGAGCTTCATGATATTTTAACGAAACTATCTATCTATTTAAAATTTCAAAATATATTATAATTATCCTAATTAAATATAAAATGACTTTATAATTGGAGAGAAAAATATTACTATCGACAATATTCAATCTGCTGTTTGAAGAAATACTTAAATTGTAACTTATAAACTTAACAAAAGTCAATATAAAAATATATCAATAATAATACTCATAATATTGATAATAATTATTAAACCAGATTTTCTAATTCCACAAAAGGTTTTGTAAGTACTGTACTGTACATCTCAACACAGACTATTTAAATTTTAAACCCCCAAACATTTGTGCTTCCTAGGGTTATCAAATGTGTGCGGACCTATCACAATAACTTAATCTGTACATTGTAATGCATGTGCTAAATAGAATGAAATTATAATTTTTTTCAAGGAATATGAGAAGATATTTAATAAAATATAAAATAATTAAATGAACATTTTTGTTTAAATTTATCTCCCTTAATATGCAGATAACTTAGTATCTGCTATCAACATTGTTGAAGAAAGCTAATATTCTGTTTTGGTTGAAATGTCTTTTGTTTGCATATAATTTTACACACAAATCGTTTAGTCAAGTGTAACCTCATTATTTTATTTTAGTTGAAACTTCCATTTGTTCTGTAGAAATTTAAGTTACCTCAAATGAAATTCTAAGATTGAAAGTCCAGACGGCAAACAAACATCAGCTGGATTTCTGATGTAATTATGAATTCTACTTTGGTTGAATTAGAAAATCTTGGAAAGGTTAAGCATACAGTTGTTTTTTACAAGTGATTTAGAGGTAGTACTGTATGTGCTGTCTAGGTTGCCAGGTCTTTCATTATGTTTAAGTTGATGTAATAAGCAAGTTTGTGAGAAATTCTCATGTTCTCGTTGATTTAATCACATTCTAGGATAATCCATACTTTTAAGTTAAGAATTAATGCTTAATTAAGTTTTTTATGAATAGGGTTAATTTTGTTGAATATAAATAAGGATGAATTGAGCAGAGTGTGTCCATTGTCTCGGCTAAAGCTTTGGGCACAATACCAAATTTTCTTTGACAAAAAACAGTTGTAGGCCCATATATAGTAGTCATGTGCCTATATATGGTCATGAGAGATCTCATCATGACCATATTTAGGCATATCACATGTTTTTGTCAATACAATTTGATAGTGTAGAAAGAGCTTTAGAGTTATACAAACCTGTGCAAAGTTTATGATCTGAGCTGCAGGCATAAAAATAATCTGAACATGTAGTGTGATTTGTTTGAGCTTCATAATCTGAGCATGGAGCTATACAATTCCATGATCCCAGCTAGAAACTCAAATGATCCAAACCATACTTGTACCTTCATGATCAGATCCTTGAAGATAACTGCAAAGCCCGAACTATCCGTACAATTTAATCTATGTATTTTGGATTTATTGAAGTTTAACCAAATATGTTTAATCGAGGAAATGTTTCCCACATTCTGATTTTTTTTTTCAAAGCTTAGGTTGAATACCGTATAATTTTTCATGTTTATACGGTAATTATAGACAATGAAACTACTGTGGAGATTTTACAGCTTGCATTTCAAAGAAAGTTAGGTTTATTGACTAAAGCTATACAGACTTACAGACTTGCAAATTTGAAGTTTGTGATATTGTTAACAAGATTGCTTATTATAAGTTTATTACAAGTATATCTGATGTAGTTAAGAATTAAAGTTTAATCAATCTTTATATGTAGCTGTAATTACCAAAAAATGCATATTAACCAAATGATGATTGAAAAAAGTACATTAAATATGCAGATTTAAGTGTCCTCTTAGGTCCCTATGTTGTTACACAACTTGCACATTACATCCGTATTCCTTAAATATTCAAATTTCAAGACTTTATGAAAGTTATGAACTTTTAAATATTGTCTCAGTGAAGTTTAATAATCGAGTCTCCAAGAGGTGTTATCATGGTATTTGTCAAGACTCCTTTTTCAAGAGGGAAACTTCTACTATAGGTAAAGATTTTACCTTGTTTCTTGTTGGGGCTCCCTTTTCCAAGAAGTGTAGTTACAGTAGGAAGAGTTTTTTTTCCTAGTTCTTGATGGACTCCTCCTTTTCCAAAGACTAGTTCCATTTGGGAAACTCTTGCCTGGTTCTTATTAGGACCCTTCCCACAAGGAGTATAGATCCACTATGAAGTGTGTTGCCTATTTCTGGTCGTATTACCCTGGTTGTTCTCCCAAGAATATAGAGTAAGCAGGGTACTGCATTTACATCCTTGTTATTGTTCACAATAAGTGCAGGAATCCTGTATCTGTTTATTTATTCATTATTTTGAAATAAGAATGCAATTTAAATTGTAAATATCAGGCACTTACTAAACTGTTACATGATACTAAGGTAGTTAAGGATCTTTAAAATGGTGCGTAACTTGTTTGAAAATCTTGACATTAAATGGAGAGAGAATAAAATCCCCAATCTTCCATTTAATAGTGACCAGTGGATGTTATGGTTGTTGCAGGTGTTGTGCACTTACCTTTGGCCATGCTCAGCTGTCCTCATAAATTGCATTTTTATCCACTGTTGTAGCGTACTGTAGTTGCCATGTAAGAAGTTCTTAGTATCTGCTATCAAAAAAATGTTTTGCACTCTCTCATCCGAGTATGGTGCATTTATGTAGAGTTCTTTTAAATAGTAGTTAACTGGCTCCCCCAACCTTTATAATTTCTTCATTGAGATTTTTTAACGTTGGTTAACTTTGGTATCGGGATACCGTTCAGACCACCACCAGTTAACATAATTAAATGTGAAGCAAGCTTCAAGAATGGTAGACACATTGATGACTTTTGGCTCTTAAAATTTCATACTAGCTCTAATGACTTCAGAAACGTTTTGGAGACTAAATATATAAAATGAAATCCTGTACATGCCTGATCATTATATTTAAAATTTTGATAATTTTTTTGCTCCATTATTAGCTGGATACTCTTGTTCATTACATCTTTATGTTCACACGCAGCCAATAATGGTTAGCAGGATCCATATAAATAACATATGCGCTCACTCTTGATCAGGCGTTCTCAGACGGGAGCTAACGGTTAGCACCCGATCTGGATACCAGGGCTCTAGTGTGAACTTAAATTTAGTACATGTCCATTCACTTTCTATTTAAAGGAGGTATAAGTCTCAATATATAAGCATTTAATTTTTTGTCATTTGAAAACACCCCGCAATACACCAGGTTTGCTCATTAATTATTCATCATATGAATATAGTAGTATGCTTCCCAATCTCATTTGAGTGTAGGCCCACAAACACTTTTGGAAAATATTACTGTAGTAATATAAGAAAAATGGTTTGTATAAACAAACTCTATTACTAAATGTCAATTTTTGTTAAATATTTATTGATATAAATTTGGTGCCTTTTGAAAAAACAAAATAAATTACTTAAAATTTATTTATCATAATTTTAGTTTAATTTCTTGATAAGATATACCATGGAGCTGTTTATGCTCCAGGAATGGAGAAACACAAATAAAAATGACACGTGTTTGTCATTTAATTACACATACGTTCTTATCAAGTTCATATTTCCACAAAAAAATATTTGCAGATTAATAAAATTGATTTTTGGTTATAATAGTAGCTTTTTTTCAGACATTTTTAACAGTTAATGTATTATTTTTAAAGAATAAGATGAATCAAGGGTATAGCAATATTCTTAATTATAATTGGAAAGTAAATATTAAGTTCTGAATAATTAGTTTGATTATGATCTATTAACAGTAACAGTATTCATAAATAATATGCTTCTAATTTGAGCATATTTTTTGTCAATAATTTTTCAAGAACATTTTAATTAATTATTTTTTTGAGATACTCTTGAATATTAAGTTCTTTCACAACTATTTGCTCCTCATGTTTTTGGAAAAAAAAGTAAAAAAAAAAGTAATGGCTACTAACAGAACAGTTTACTTTGACATGTAATGTGTAAAAAAGTTGTTAAAGTCGCTGATGTGTGGCCATGGTCGTGTGATTATTATGTCACATCCTTGTGATTGTAAAGACTTCAATAAATGAACATATTGCTTTTCCTAACTTTAGTCTCTTGAGTTCAATTTTGTTGATTTGTATGTTAGGTTTGTGTGCATTCTTTACCTGATTTTTTGCAATAACCCATTCACCACCCTCCTGGATTTGCAACTGAAAATGTGTTGCATGACATGTTTCATGTGTTTGATGGTTAGATTTTATTGTTAGAAAACAATGAAAACATTACGCGTACACATAAAATATACAAACATTATGTTTATTTCAAAAAATATCAAACATACACAATCGTTCAATGGCAGTTGAATCTGAATTGCAGAAATAATTTTTCAGTATTTCCAAGTCTCATGAGAGTCTACTGGAAATCAGATCAACCTTTCGCCATCCCACAACCGGACAAGAATTTCCCGGAAAATTACCTATCCTACAAATTCATAAAATTTTCATGTTTTTATTACTATATTACTCCATTATTATAATTTGTCACATGGAAGTCAGTGTCGGTCACCATGCAGCAAAACAAAATTTAGATGTGCTGTTTAAACTAGGGTTTAAACAGATTTCTTCCAACTTGGAACCACAAAATTTTAAGAATACTGAATACAATACTGTATACAATGGCTCGTGTGCACTATAAAGAACCCAGTACATCCTTCGAGACGTATAGGGGGATACCCTGGTGTACTGGGACAACCCCTGTGGTGGACGACGAGAGTTGCTGGCACCGGGTTACCAGGTAGCACAGACACGAAGGTACCCTTAGGGGCGAAGAAAGTCATTGATCAAGTTCCTAGTCCACATATCAAGCGCCCTATGAGCATCTTACATTAGATGGATATGTGCGCTATGTAAAACTACACTATTATTATTAAGAATCTTATCACATTATAAGAATTACAACATCAACTTACACAAGAAAGAAACATTACAGTTACAATGTACAAAACGAAATACATTTAAACAATGAGTTAAAATAATAAAAAAATTATTTTGAAATAAATTTAAAAAAAAAGTGGTGCGTCGGCCGGGAATCGAACCCGGGACAATTGCTTGGAAGGCAACTATGTTAACCACTACACCACCGACGCCCTTAGCAAAGAAAATGGCATGCATCTTTCAAGAATTTTATATAACAAACGAAAACAACTGTATCCTTTTTGTATTATGATGATATCATGTAGAATTGGATTTTTTTAAAGTGATTTTACGTTTGATAAATTTTGTGATTTATTGTACAGTATTGACAAACGAAAAGTGATTGCTCTTTTGTGTTGGAGGCGTGCTTCAATTTTGAAGTGTCCGCGCGCGACGAGTTTGCTGCTCTGCACAACGCATGCTTCTTGTTGTGGGCATCGGATCGGAAATGGCATGCACTTGACAGGACTTGTTGTGTTTTGAGTTTATTGGCCATGTGAGCGAAGGACTTTCGCCGTGAATAAGTTTATACAGTAGTTTAAACATTTATTTTTTTAAAGCTTAGCTACAACTGTAGTTGTATTAACGCACGTCGCATTACTAGTTGTTTATATAGCCTATTTTTAAACGTTAAGTTTGTTGCATGCCGTACGTAGGCCTAGGCCTAGGCCCTAGGCTAGGTAGGCTAGCTTGCACGCCTAAATCGCTAGGCCTAGCCTAGGCTAGTAGTACTTCAGGCTGGGTAGGCCTAGGCAGGCTAGCCTAGTACTAGGCCTATGCCTCCAGGCTAGCTAGTTACTACAGACATTCCAACCCCTAGACCTCAAAAATCGGGAGACGGGAGAATTTGCAGGCGAAGGCGTTAAGGTCTTTCAAAAATCGGGAGACGGGAGAATTTGCAGGTGAAGGCGTTAAGGTCTTTCGAAACGTAACTTCTATTTGGTTTTTCGTTCATGTGCATTGTAATTGCATCCATATGTAATTGCATCCATTTAGTGGGAATCCCATGTTTTTTTATTGGCTGTACGTTAAGTGAGGTGGTTGTACAACAAATGTAGGCCTAGGCCTAGTTTTAGAAATTTGGGAGAACTTAAACAAATTCGGGAGACCGGGAGATAGCATTTAAATTCGGGAGATTCCAGATCGAATCGGGAGGGTTGGAACCTTTGTTACTAGGCCTACTCGCAGTGCCTTACCTCCTAGCTTAGGCTAGGTCAGGTAGTCATCCTGAAAATTAATACACACATTGATTGCGACGACAGTCACCACATAGTTTACCAGTCTGAAAATGTCTCTGGAAAATTTGGCTATGAATGATAGCGGTACCGTGTCCCAGATTGTAATTTGTAGAAATTTCTCTGTTATGTGCAAATTTCACTTAGGCCTAAATGTTTTCCCTTTTTTGCAGACCATTGTGGTAGATAATGGATTTTGATTTGACACAAGCCATTCCACTTTCAGACGTAGAAAGTGATGTCACAGATGATCTTGATGAGTCTCTATCAAAGAAACCAGTAAGTGACTGGTAGCAGGTCAAAACGGCAATAAACAAAAACGGCATGTGACCAAAACGGCAATGATAAGTACTAAAATGGCAACAGACCAAAACTGCAATGACAAATACCAAAACGACAATATACCAAGGAACAAAATCAATCAAGAGCAAGCGCCGCTAAACGCGGGACGAATTGTTTAGATCTCATTTTGTCTGTATTTTAAACTTAAAGTTTATTGCTTTTATATTGTGTTTTCCAAATCCTTTTATTATTGAATTTTTATGTTGTTATATATTGTTGTTGTTGTTATTGTATTTTTGCATTTTTTTAAAATATATTGTGTTTCCCCAATCTTTCTATTATTGAATTATTATTATTGTTATTAATGTGTTTTGCATTTTTACTTCTGTAACATAAATTGCTGTAGCTACATTTTGTGTGTATTTTAAAGTTTTATTTATTTGTTTAGTTTATTGCCGTTTTGGTCCATTGCCGTTCTGGTAAAAAAGTTTGGTACTCAATGAACCTTTTGTCCGGAAATGTCTGTTTAAAAAATCCAAGGATCATGATACATATGTGATGTCTCCAAGCTTTTTTAAACACATAGAGTACTACATCAACATACCATGTAGTAGTGATTGTTAGTTAGCAACTACCATAAGGCAGCCGATACAGCTCTGTGCCTACAAAGCTAAGCTACAGTTTCTATAGCTTTTTCAACTAATAAAAAAATATAGTAATAACATTAATGCTTATCGTTAATCTATTGCAAGTTTTGTAAATTGAATTATAGATACAAAGTTGAAAAATTAAGCTTAAAAACCTATGGATATTTTTGGCTTACAGTAGTTGTGAATTGCATGATACAAAAGAAATTGTAACTATGTGGTAATAACAAAACACCGTACATTTATTTTCTCCTTTACGTATGATATAGATTGGCTTTATTAAAACAATTAAGCAGAAAGGTTATCCGGAGACAACGTTCCCGATATACGAGGGTAAGCAACGAATATATTTTTATTTATTTATTTTTTTTTTTTATAATTTTTTTTTTTATTACCAATGTTGATCTGAATATCATTATAATTCGGTATATTGAATCGGATATTTTAATTTGTTTAATAATTATTTGTGATTTTTGACAGGAGTGAACCTTATTGGAAGAGGTGATGCAGCTAATGTGCTTATTCCACTTAAGGTAATAACTACTGTACATTACATTTGTTTTCCCAAAAATATTGTACTCACAAGCCTGGTTCACGTCAAACTTTTATCTAGATATACATCCACTTAACTAGTTAAAAGTTCGACGTGAACCACTCAATTATAGCTAGATAAAGGCTTAAGTCACTTAAGTGACTTAACTTTACTAGAATAACGGTAAATTAACTTGCTTAACGGTAAAGTCGGCTCAGATTACAAGGCCACGATTACGTAACGTAGGCATCTAAGCCAGCGTTGTTGTATTGTACCACCATTATCATGCTCTGGCTGGCAACAATGTACTCCAACAATGCTAACAACAGCAGCATAGTAGTCTCATTAGTCTGGTTTTCAGAAATTGTTTGTAATATTATGGGTAAAAAACCAGCAAATGACCTTTGCCCTTTGCATCATCGACCAAGTAGTAACGTCAAAAGTCCTATTGTGTAAGTTTTCCAAAGTGATAATGTATATTATTCTTAATAATAAAATCAGATTTGTTGTATTTATTTATTTATTGACAATTCAATCTTTTCCATTTCCGCTATAATAGTTACTATTAATTCAGTTTCAACGAACTACCACCAACAACCAGTCATTAAAAATGAGCGCACATGTTTACGATGACGAAATAAAAAAGTGTGTTGAAGTCGGCAACTTATTTGACACCGCGAAGCTAGATTTTGGCGAAGTGCATGTAAACGACACAATTGAGCGATCTAAAAACTACAAAACAGGACAGAAAGGTCCATAAAGTATACAGACGTTTTAATGAAAATTAAAACAATATTTTGTTAAATGGAAGAATTCTAGTTAGCGATTAAAATAATTTGTTTTATATCGAAGGTAAATTTAGCTAGGGCCTAGAGAATCTACTACTTAGATTTTGATAGAACACGCTGCTGCACTGTCAGTTGGTTCGTACTGGTCGGCTAGGTTATAAGGTATTGGAAACTCACACCTTCTTTACAGTAGTTTAAAAATTTTTTTTTAACGAATACCACTTGGTACTAGAGGTTCATAAAATACAATAGATGTTTTATTAAACAAGCCTTTCCACCGTGTGACGTCGACGGCCTGAAACTGGCTGGCTGTTTATCTGGCTCTAACTTGGCATCGAACGCAGTTAGGAGATTATCGTATCATGTTTCAAGACGGGCATATCTAGATAAAGTTCGACGTGAACCAGGCTACAGGGAATAAGCCCTGGATATATCTTATGTGTTCTTATCTGATGATAATTTAAGCTATTGTAAATAATAAATTAATTACTAAAGCTTGGCTAAATACATGTCAAATTTGTTTACCTAGATTAACTACAGTTGTCATGTTTAATAGTATTCAGGAACACCAGTACAGAATTTCAGACCACCATTAGGGCTCACAGTTAGTTTATATTTGCCATTGTTTTTATTAACATTATACATTACAGTTTTTTTCCATAACAAACTGGTATCTTAGTATAAAACATACTCCAAATAAAGTGAGACTAGTAATTTTGATTCAATATTTCGATCTTTTATTAGATCATCATCAGGAATGTATAAAGATTCTAACATTACTGGTATCATGTGTATATGTCTGCCCCTTAAAATCTGATGCAGTAAATATTTCTTTATATTATGTTTCCCTATTTATTACTTAATTCTTTTCAAAACCATATTGCCATTCTCTCCACTCTGGCTTGTTGTTTTTGACCCAGTTTCCTTTATAAAAACATGTGATCAAGATATTTCAAGCCCTTTTCCTCTTCTGGAATGGCCATTCCTTTTTGTAAGTTCTTTAATATCCATCATTTCCCTTCCTTCCTTGCTATATCACACATTCATTCCCATTTGATCTGTTTTGTAATAATATTGGCTGTAATTTGTATCTGTACATTGCATCCCCATATAAGCAAACATTTTATTCATTTTTATCCTTACGTTTATTATAGGCACAGTGTTACTTATGTGTCTTGTTAAATGTGCATAAACAAAATCAATGTTAACTTACCTCTGGTTTCATTTTTCTTCCCTTTTCCTCTGCAGGCCTTGTCTAAAGAGCATGCATGTATTGAGGCAGATGGAGAAAGTATTTTCATATATGACAAAGGTAGCCGTAATAAAACTCGAAGAGGAAAGGTATAATGCATTTATTATTGCTATTGTTGTAATATTTTTTTTATTACTATTACTGTTGTGGTTATTGCTGCTGTTATTATTATCAATAATATATTTAATAATAATATTATAGACACTTTCAGCATTAAAATATTTATTTCCTAATGTCAGGTAACTTATATATACTCATAGGTGGAGAGAGAAAAATTGCCTTGACCATTTAGTCATGAGTGAAGATAGGCAGTTTGGGTCCAGAATGTTGAATTCTTTGTTTCTATTTTACCTCATTTTACTTTCTTTATATTTGTTTAAGTTGTTCCTGAAACCAAATGTTCGATATGAGCTGAAAGATAGTGACAAACTCATTTTCGGTGATGTGAAGTGCGAATTCCTGATTAACCATGGTCAAGAGGTACATGAAAATTCTTTCAAATTAAGAGACAAATATGTTTGTGATGTTTTATCATTCATCTTTGTATTTAAGATAAAAATATACCATGACAAAGTTAAACTATATAACTCTTGTTTATACTTCAAAATATGAACATACAAACAAAATCTCAATCATAATATGACGTACCCCAACTACATACTGATGAAGGATAAGATATCTTATCCAAATCTCTAATTGATAATGATTAAGTTTGCTTTTTTGGTAATCTTCCTACTATAAATCTATTTAATTGAAATAATTGAAATAGTTAATGAATAATACTTGATAACAATTCTTTTTTACTATGATCTAGCAAGCTAAGGAAGATGACATGGGAATTGAATCTAATTCAGGATCTGAGACCGGATCAGAGTGTATGCTTCAAATCAACGTTGTCCTGCCGGTAATCTCTTTGTTCTCAAATTTATTCATAGGCATCTTAAAAAATATTAAAGAATACATAAATATTTGTGTATAGTTCATCTTGTATCAATATTGTAGTGCATTGCAAACTGTAAACTAGAGTGCCCGAATGCCAACAATATGCAGATGTGTATGATGGGCGAAACCATACCCTCAAGGAAATAATGGAATTATAAATATTGTTTGAAGGCTTGCATTTCAAATAGACATTGTTTTAGACTTTCTTTCAAGTAATTTTGTTATTGTTATTTTATGTTTAGTAATGAATGGCATTCATGAGTGACATTCATCAGAAATTTGCTGACAAGGGGTCTGACGTGTCCGACGGAGGGGTCTGAACCAAGGGTCCGACTAGAGGCTCGATTGACGGCCCGTAATAGTTTTTATGGTTTAGCATGGTCCAAATTGTGCTTTTAGACCACAATATTAGAGACTAGCAATCAAAATAACGTTATTTGGATACAGTAGGAAAATTATTACAGTCAAACTTGCCTAAGTCGAATCTAAAGTGCCACTGAAATATAGTTCGACTTAGGTTAAATTTGACTAAAGCAAAGTCCAATTTTATTCGAGTTATATCACAATAGCAACTTGACTTGGAGAGTTAGGCCTTACTTAGACCCGAACAAATTAACACGCACTGACGGTACACGCACGATGTTGACCGCACATTTGGCCTAGGCCTAGAACTGTAGAAGTAAAGGCCTAGTCTACCTAATCTTACCCTGAAAGCAGTATTCTTCAGATTTGCAATTACATTACATTAATTCTTCAATTATTACAGTATATTTAAATGTTTTGTTAACTGCTTCTATGCCATTCTTTTGAATACATTATAAAGAGGAATCAGTCAATACTTAAATTAAAGCTAAATCATATTTATATTTGATAAAGTACCGTAACAATTAATAACTTATTTTTGCATGGCCATCAAGCGAACACGTTTTAAATACGATAAATTCGGTTGAAAAATCCCAAAGAACAAACCAATACTTACTAGGTAAAAGTCTTTAATATATATATTTCAACACATGTATTAATCGTAAGTAAACCAGATTTCTATACCCTGCCACAAAATGGACCGTTTAAAATCGCCCACTACTTGTGCATGTGCTTGCTTCTCGCTGCACCGCGAGGAGAGCAGCCGATGCTCTGCATATAGTTTGTATGCACTGAAGATTGGGATGAAGATAAAACTACAGGAGCACATTCGTTTTTTATGACGGGTTATTCCCTATACCTAAATTCCATAAAACATTTATTTTACAATTACTGTACGTATCTTACAATACAATTTAACTTACTGTATTTGAAAAAGAACTAACAAACCCTGAAACAGTGCTTAAACATTAGTCGCTTGTTGACGTTACTACATGTCTAAACAATAGTGAGGAATGTGAGTTGAGTCGCATGTAAAAAAAACTACACAAAGTACTGCTATGTAATGTAAACACGAGTCACTGGTCGGGCTTAAAATGCTTGAGGTTTTACGTCAAGATTTTGACTTCGACTTACGGACTAACAATTAATGGAAAACAGATCAATTTGGCATGTAAAATACTTTCGACTTTCGTTTTTATTCAACTTCAATTTATTCGAGTTAGAGCAAATATTAACCATTGTAAATATAGGGAAGATGAAGTGACATGAAAATAATTTCGACTTTTACAATTTTTCGACTTAGGCACATTTGACTTAGGCGAGTTTGACTGTATTTCTTTATTTTTTATCTGACGACCTAGTCATGGCGTTGGACGACAGGGTATCCAGACTTGTCTGGCGGGAGGGAAAATGTCTCTCGCTGGCACCAGCAGTGGCACCACATTGGAAAAGCGCTGTATAAAGAAAACAAATCATGATTTTCACTTCTTTTTCTGTTCAGAGTGGAAGCTCATCAGCTGTCATTGACACTAAAAGTAAAACAGCCAATAATAATGCATGCATTGTGTCACCTGACCAGAAGCAACCTAATAAACGTACAGCTTGTGAGACATTTGTAGAGGAATCATTTCTCGAAGACAAGGAAAAGAAAGGTTGGTACCTCATCCAGCATTATATTATTTGGAAATGGTTGTTTCTTATATTTCATTTCTATACTAATCCATTTCAAGTAGATAGCTACTAAACAACGAAAATTAAATAATGAAAAACATGAGAATCTTGTTCACTGTTTTAAAATGTTTTCAATTTTAGGATTACAACTAAAAAAAACAACTAATGTTCCATTTCTCTGGACCTCCCAGTCTACTTGCACTGTAGTGAACTTTTCAATACTCATGCCTCTTGGCAGGCTAAAGATTAAACTTACTGTTTTTGGCACTTCTTTTGTTCAACCAATAATGGAATGTCCTTCCAAAAATTGTCACCAAATATTTATAAAGATATCAAATGCTTCAGAAAAGATGAATCTGGCAAAATATGATTGTGTTTTTTAAGATTATCAACTTAGTTTCTGAGTACCTTGTACAGTAAAAAGTCCGTTTTACGAACCCTGATTTTATGAATACTATTCGTTTAGTATGATTGCTACAGTATTTAAGTAAACAATACTACAACAAAATGCCAGTATGAAACAGCAAATGAGTGCACTTGTATACAGAAACTGAATGTTCTGTGTTCTGAAAGATGAATACCAGGAGTGTTGGGTTCAAACCCTCATTGACATCGTTATGGTTATGTGCATGTCTATAACACAATACAGGGTTCCAGTCATGTATGAAGGTCCGCAAAACATATATGTTTGAATAAAAGCTAAATAATACTTTGCTAAACGGGAATGCCAGCAAGTACGATACCTTGGTTTTTACCAAAGGCAAATTTAGCTACAATAAGCTAGCGAGTAATCCACACTGCTTTGTGGTCATGGGTGTGTGTGTGAAAAGTTCCTACAATACCAAGACCCAGCCTCCGTCAGTACCTGCCATGCTATCGCGCACAGTCGGCAGATGATAGCTAGCTTTTTAATTTACGATCACCTCTTGGTACCAAGGGGTACGTAAAAACGGACGTTTTACTGTATATGGTAAGTATGTTTCCAAGCTAAATGGTATGATTGCTTTTTTCATATAGTAATACACTATAATTTGTATTGACTGTTTCATTGTACAATTGATGGTATTTTTCCTAGTTAATTTTTATTCAACCAGGCCAAATAGACATATAGTAATTCAGTTACAGTATAAGTCATATATTTCAATTTACTTTTTTCCAGGTAACTTTAAAGATTCAGAAGACCAACGCAGTGACACACCATCAGTAAGCAGTAATTATGGGGTAAGACAATTGATGTGTAATTACTTTCATCATCATTTATTTAAATTCTATCATATTTAAATGTTGTAGGCTTTAGAATATTGTTTAATAGTTTGCATGGTAAAGTAATAATATATTAAATTCTTGCAGTGTGCCACATAGATAGTTCTGAAAAGAACAGTTGTTTTAGTTGAAAATTTCTCACATTCGATTGAGTTGCTTCAATCATCATCAGAATAATATTTGTGGTATAAACTATTTATGTGGTGTACCGCAAGCAGTTAATATTTATTTACAATATGGATAACAAAAAGGTTTTTTTTTTCAAAATGCCCTTGTCAAGTAACAAAATACTTATTTTGATTAAATTTTGCAGTTGTTACAAGAACATAAAATACTCAAGTTGTTTAATTTTAAACTAATGTTGAACAACTTCTAACAGCTTTGTAATTTGTGTAAGGGTTTCTTTTGTCAATATACAGAATAAAGCAATCTTTCTTAAAATATGAGAAGATAGTACTGTCCCGCATTTTCATTATTTTAATTGATGTATCATGTTTTGTATTTTATATTTCAGAACATCAGTTTGGAAATGCAGCAAAACGTCTGTGTGGCACTAGTGAAAGCTTGGAAAAACAATTGCTGGAAAACAGAAAGCTCATAAAGGATATAAAGAGGCAACAAGAGAAAATGCAGTCCACTCTGGATGTGATCATGGTAGCTCTCAACTGCCGCCCTGCACAATTGCCAGTACAAAGCGCCAAACTCAGACCAGAGGTGGAATATGCTGACACTCAGGGGTACATAAACCTGGGCGGGAATAAGATAATCCCCCCGTTACTGTTTTCCTTGGAGGTGTACAAAGACCTGCTAACCGCCAATCCAAAGCCAACACTGCTATTAAAGGCCCTTATGGGTGTGTTGTTCTCTAAGGAAGAAATGGCCACTAGTAACTATGGTGGGAAAAAGGGAAAGCGGGCCCTGGACGAAAGGACAATCGAGGCGATAATTAGCCAAATTGGTCTACAGTTTAGCTCAACTTCCATCTTAACTGTAAGAGAAATAAGAAATGCCATCAATGATAGATGTAGATATGTTAAATTCACATTAGGTAATTCAATATAGTTTATATTTAACAAGGCTTTTTTTGTATTTGTTATACTGAAGACATTGTTTTGCAAATATTTGTTCATTTAAAAAAAAATTCAACTAAAGCCATGTATAAAAATATTTTCTAAAAAATGTGTAGAGGTTTGAAACCGAAAGGTCCACTGATTAATCTCAGAAAAGAAAGTATAATACATACTTTAAGTATTGAAATGCATGTCATCGTGTTGGGATTCAATATTTCGACATTAATTATGTCATCATCAAGAATGTAGAGGTTTAACAACCATATTACATTTGGGGGAAAATTTGCAATGGATTTCTACTTCTGGCTATCTTCAGTTGAGTTTTACATAAAATAAAATTATGTTGGAATATTCATTAATATTGGAGGGGATGATCGATATTTTGTAAATGACTTAACACATATAGTTTTGATTTGAATTTGTACAGTATGTATTTATAAATTTTATAGATTAATTTTGTGTTTGTACAGTTATATTTGCTAGGAATATTTATATAACTGTATACTTGTATTCATTTATTTATTTTATTTTTTTTGTTCTAGTGTAGGCCATAATTATTTTTTAATCTTTTTACTTGAAACAATACTGTGTTAATTCCTTATCTTTGTTGTAAACTCTGTTCATATTGTACTTTTTGATGTAAGGCAGTTTCATTAAAATTGGTTTATGAATGGAATGTGTATTGCGATGAATGTCTTTCTTTTCATCACTTAGTTTTTGATTGTTCGCTCTCTCTTCCTGTGCTAGCCTAGGCTAGACCGTAGCATAGCGTAGTTATGAAATCATCGCACGATTTTTACCTGTCTGCACTGACCAAAAATCTGACTGTTTCTCTTTCGAATGCTTTAAGAAATGTTTATTTCTTTGTGTCTATCAAAATAGCATTATGAACAAGTTCTTCTAACACAATACAATTTCAAATTATGTGTTTAGTTAACATGTACTGCAGGAGCACAAATCAGCATACGCACAGTTAAATGTAAATACGCACACAGTATACTGATCCTATCACTATAGCAACCGATGACCGCTACAACACTTGGTTATCAAAACCTCAGTCAAAACTAACATTAAAGGACAGCGTTTGTAGAGCATGCATCGTATACTAGCGGAAAATTATATAGTATACTAATTATAGTATACTATGCGGAGCTCTACTAATTGCTTATTATAATAATAATAATAATAAATATTTAATTGTCCTCAAATGTAATGTGCACTGTGGAAATTTATGCTGGCGACCCATGGCAGCTGCAGTGCAGTGCCACCTGACTTATCTACAACATACAATGGATACACCTGGTCCTTTACTTGCTTAACTCTCCTGGAAGGGTTATTAAAGGAGCTGAGCATTTATAAAAGATCCGACTGGAGAGCTGTGTCACGTATCCTGGCCCTGATTGGTTGTGTCTTCATAAAATCGAATACAGTACATACCAATCTGTGTGCTACAAATATACACCGATTAAACATACAGTACAAGCCTAAGAAAACTGACAATAAATATTAGGTCAGATATTTTCAGAAAGCAATTGTATTATGTACTGCACCAATAGATTTTCAGGGTATATGAGGTACTGACCGATGGACTGCCTATGTTAACGTCTTGCTTGCTTTGTCAGGACCCATCACAAGTTTGTTGAATTGCAGTTTTCTGAATGGCAGACAGTGGGCTGTCAAGGAGTCTTGAAATGTAGGGTTGATGGGGGATGCAAAGGTGAAGTGGGGGGGGGGCAATGATAGTTGAGGGAGTGCGTGCTCATAAAGTAAGGTGATTTCAGGTGATTTTTAACTATTTGAGGATGACGACTGGGGATAGTATTTGGGTGAGGGAGTGCGTGCTCATAAAGTAAGGTGATTTCAGGTGATTTTTAACTATTTGAGGATGACGACTGGGGATAGTATTTGGGGGATGGCTGTGCCCCATACCCACCCCCACGTCGCACCCCCAAGATACGCCAGTGATGCCAGGTAACCTACTCTACTTAGTTGAATGCCAGGATGCCAACTTATTACAGATCCAAGATAGCCAAATCCTTGCTGAAACCCAGTTTGCTGAATGCTAACTCATTAATTCCAAATACACAGTTTCTCGAATGATTTTGACTTTCACTGCCAAAAACTCTACTTAATTGTAGTGTTTTTTAACAGCAGTGAACAAATGAGAAATGCAGTAAACGCAAATGATATGACAAATTTGATATGATTCCTTATTTATCTTAATTATGGCTTATATGTTTTTCAGAAATATTTGCTGAAGATTCAGGTTCAGATACAGATATTGAAGATGGACTACAGCAAACAAAACAAACAGGTACAGTATATGTGAAGGGGAGGGGGACATTTAGAAACCATGACTTGCAACTATTGTTAACTAATGGTATATAATTTGGCCAAAACAAATTTAGTGTTGCCCAAAATAAAATAAAAAAAATGATATCACATTTATGTTATATTTTATCAGACAATTGTAATACTGTATGTGGTGAGAAAAGTTTCAGCGTATTTCTCTATAATAAAGCATTTTACATTACACTTTAAAAGAAATCTCTCTGCGCTTAAAGGTATGAATTGTGGGAATAAAAAAATAATGATGATGATCTCTGACAATAACAAGAGGTGATCCGCTGGTGAAGACAATAAAAAGAATAAATCTATAAAGCAGAATAAAAATTATAAAGTCTGAAAATATAACACAATTATGAAAAATTGCCACTGATAAACATAAATCAAATTCACTGTAAAAAAATTATAATCATTATTTACAATAAAAATTGACATGGAGGACCAGATTTAATCACCATAAAAATAAATAAAATAAGTAATAAAAAGGATAAAAATAATATTTAAAAAAAGTTGCACTCTTAAATTTAATATACAGTAAAATCTTCAGTAAGTTATTCAGTCAAAACAAAGATTTATTTTATCTAATGTACAACTGACCAATGAAGTCATTTGGACTCTTGTTGATGTGTATGGTTTCTATCTGTTGAATCTAGTGTTTGGTGATCCTTGTGTTAGTGCTAGCTCCCTATCTGCCATGTTTTATATGTATATAGGTGAATGTGAATTTTGTTGTAAGGCATTTATAACTGAATGAAGAAAGAAAATAAATCACTAATACATTTTTTGAAACAATTTGATTTATATAGACACAAGTAAGTTTGTACCTGATAGTCAACCTACTCTGAATATTAGTACTATCCAAGAATCCCCATTTTTGCCAACTAGTGCAAGTCGTTTTAACTATACTTTCGGTTCAGAAGGTAAGTTGTGTGTCTTTTTGTATACTCATGCTGGGACTTCCGGTGAGGGGTTCTTGCACATTGTCTGCTACAAATATAAATATTCAAATTGCAATACATTCAGTATTTGTTGTCGTAGTCCATTCTAGACTACGGACCACATCATTTACATGACATGTGCATAGAGGACCCCAAGATGTCCCCCTTTCTTACTTGTATTCTGGGGCCGTCGTGAAGCATAAATGCTTTCAAGAACTTATAATTGGATTTGCCATTGGCAGCAGTAAAAAATCATTACACTGTTTTTATAATAACTGCTCACGTCCATCTGTAATTAATATTTGTTATAATAAATGCAATGTAGAAAAAGTGAGTAAATGCCTTTGAATATGAATATGAATGTCCTACTGAAGCGAAATTAGGATGATTTATACATATTTTATTGTATTATTATTTAATAATATAATATTGTAACAATTTTTTATGCATTAGCTGACAAGGATCTTACAAACGTTGACGAGAATGAGACCCAAATACATGATGGCTCTGTGAATCAGCATTCAACACCAGCCAGTAAGGACCAAGAGAAGGATACCAAAATTGAGGCTAATATCTTTGCCGATGAGCCTACACAGGCCTGCACCATGGACGATATATCAACCCTTAAGTATAATACAGCCAGTGATACAGACGATGAAGAGGTAGATAAAGCTGCGTTAACTACTGCTCCTACCCAGCCTTACACAGCTGCTGAAGCTGCTACTCAGAGGTATGGTGATGGGGATGAAACAGATGAAGATGTGGATGCTGGAGTAGCTAATGCGCCTACCCTGGCTTATACAGTAGCAGAAGCAGCTACACAGATGTATGGAGAAAAATCTGACTCTGAAGATGGTAATGATGCTTCAGAAGCCCTAACTGCAGCTCCTACCCTGGCCTATGATAACATTGATGAGAACACGATTAAGGACCAGAGCTGTGAAGATGCTAAAGATGGGAATAGTGATGGGGATAAAACAGATGATGAAGTTGACTTAGCTGGCCTAGCCACTGCTCCTACCCAGGCTTACACGGTAGCTGAAGCAGCTACACAGCGGTATAGTGATGGAGATGAAACGGATGAAGAGGTTGACCTAGCTGGCCTAGCTACAGCTCCTACCCAGGCTTACACAGTAGCTGAAGCAGCTACACAGAGGTACAGTGATGGAGATGAAACAGATGAAGAAGTTGACTTAGCTGGCCTAGCTACTGCTCCTACCCAGGCTTACACAGTAGCTGAAGCAGCTACACAAAGGTATGATGATGGGGTGGAAACAGATGAAGATGTGGATGCAGAGATTGCTGCTGCTCCTACTCAGGCTTACACGGCAGCTGAAGCAGCTACACAAATTTACGGAGAAGAATCTGATTCTGAAGATGCTGCTTCAGGGGGCCTAGCTGCAGCCCCTACTCTAGCTTATGATAACATTGATGAGAAAGAGGCTGAAGAGAGCTCTGAAGATGTGGCTGCTGCCCCCACGTTGGCATACGAGGCACAGACACAAAATGCTGAAACCCTTGATGTACAAGGCAGTGCAGTAGAATCACAAGTTCAAGGGAAGCTAGAGGAGAAAGGCTCATGTTCACCTCAGCCCCTTGATGATGCCCCAACACAGGTGTTTGGTGTAGATGATGAGAATGCCCCAATACAGGTGTTTGGTGTAGATGATGAGACGGCAGCCACGCAGGCATTTGGTGAAGATGATGAAACTGCAGCCACGCAGGCGTTTGGTGAAGATGATGAGACTGCAGCCACTCAGGCATTTGGTGAAGATGATGAAACTGCAGCCACGCAGGCGTTTGGTGAAGATGACGAAACTGCAGCTACGCAGGCGTTTGGTGAAGATGATGAGACTGCAACCACTCAGGCATTTGGTGAAGATGATGAAACTGCAGCCACGCAGGCGTTTGGTGAAGATGATGAAACTGCAGCATCACATGTGTTTGGTGACGATGAACAGGGTCCTGGTCCTGCAAGGAATGTAGTTGACAGTGTTAAAGAACAAAAACCTTCAGCTCAACTTCAACCAGATGAATTAATTGAAACCCAGTCTTATGGAGTAGAAAATGAACCAATGGATACTGCAGATAGCAATACATTGGAAATTGATGTCACTGGTGATACAGTAAGTATTTCACAGTATTAACTTCAAATTACTTGACTTTCCAGGAAGCTTGCCTTCCAAACTCCTTTCTCTAAGCTTCACTTTATTGGGACATAGTTTATAGAACACAATTGAATTGAGTTTATTTCGTTTTGCCAAAAAATTTTGTGTTTTTATGTTTATAAAATATTTTTATAGAAGTAAAGTAGGAGTACCATCTATTGGTATTAGCCACTCTCCCTAAGAGAACATCTGCCCATAACAGGATCTGTATATCTTGATGTCTTTGTACTGTGATGGAAAAATGTCTGGTGAAGACCATAAATAATACAGCTATTTTAAAGTTTTTAATAAGAGCTTCATTAAATAAAGCACAGAAAAAAAGTGTAGTTTACCATACGGCATACATACCAGTAGACTACCCTTAAAGATTGTCTTCTCTGCCTGTTTTGTTTGGTCTATTCTTATTCTTTTTTCTAGTGGACTCTGCCTTCCCCGGCGGCCTCTAAGACTAGTACATGGCGTTTCAAGTCGGTCTAGACCCTGCCTGCCCGACTGGATGCAGTTTAGTTTCATATATAGTACTTGATACCTACACTTAACTAGATGTAAAACAATTTTTTTTTTATTAAATCTAATTTTGTTCTTACCAGCACTGATAACAAGCCAGTTTCAACTTTAATTTGCTAGAATTGCGATTTATTATAAACTATCCTCAACGAACATTAACTCTGTAATTTTTTAGTGTGGATTTGTGGGGTCAAATGGGTAAAAACTACCAGTTTTGTAATCAGATCAACACTTAAACTAAGTATTATTTGTTCATTGTCAGCAAGTTCCAGATAGCCAAGAAACAGATGAGTTGGAAATTGAATCACTTCTGCGAAAGGTACCAGGAAAATCAGTATTAGTCAGCCCTGAGAAAAAAAGCAAGAACCAAGAAAAGAAAAAAGTTGTATTTAGTTCTGTAAGTACAGTTCAGACAATCTGTTTTGTTAAATAACTGTTTTTTCAGGCATGTAACCAGCTTGAGTAACAGAGGGTATGGGAGGTGGGGGAGTCAATTAGAAATGTAAACAGAACTTACTTGCACCTTTTGGGGATGGGAGTGTGGGGAAGTCAAATTTAATAACTATGTGATAATAAAAATATTTCTATTATATATAGTGCATAATAATGTTTGGCAGATGTTTTGATTATTTATTATAATGGTTGGTATTGATATTGTGTTGGTACGGTAATATTAATCCTGATTAATATATTTATAAATTCTTTTTAAGGTTCCCGAATTTGAACCACAAAAAAAAAGTCATGATTTGAAGGAAGGAAAGAAAAATACAAAAGGAAAGAAACAGAAAGGTATAAAAGACAAAAAAGAAGGTGATGATAAGGAGGTTTTAGATGCAAGCAGACGGTCTGGAAGGAGTCGGAAGCAGACTACACGTATGAAAGACTCAGTGGATCAGAAGAAGAGACGTTCCATGTCATCAAATGCAGAGATTGCTTTTTCAATATCTAAGGATGAAAATAATGTTGGTATTGGAGAACAACCAATCAAAGATGTTTGTGGAGAGAAATCTCCAAGTCAATCTGGAGAGAACAAAGTGTTGGCAGTTGAAGAACAGTCAAATGGTCAATCAATGACTGCCCGAAAAAGACGGCAGGTTGAGGAAGGAATGAAGGAAAAAGAATCTGATGTGATTAACACAACACAGAACACTGTTACACAAACACCAAGAGGAAGAAGCAACAGGACAAAGAATATGAAAAGTAGTCTGAAAGAAGACAAGGTCAATAAAGTGAATGGTGAAGAGCAGATGGAAGAAAAACAGACTAGAGGAAGAAGATCCAAAATCAATATATTAGAGGAAGAGAAGGAAGAATGTACAAAACCTGTGGAAGATGCTTTTGAAATTGAAAAAACAATAAAGAACACTGTTCCACAAATACCACGAGGAAGAAGCAACAAGACAAGGAATATGAAAAATAGTCTGAAAGAAGACATGGTCTATAAAACTGGTGGTGAAGAGCAGTTGGAAGAAAAGCAGACTAGAGGAAGAAGATCCAAAAGGAATATAGTGGAGGAAGAAAAGGAAGAAAGTACAGAAACTGTGAAAGATGCTTTTGAAACTGACAACACATTACGGAGCACTGTTGCAGAGACACCAAGGGGAAGAAGACACAAGGCAAATAATATGAAAACTAGTGTGACAGAAGACAGGGTTGTTAAAACTGATAGAGATGAGCAAATGGAGGAAAAGCAGACTAGAGGAAGAGGATCCAAACGAAAAGTAGTGGAGGAAGGGAAACAAGAAAGTACACAATCTTTAAAAGATGCTTTTGAAACTGACAACACATTACAGAGCACTGTTACAGAGACACCAAGGGGAAAAAGCAACAAGACAAAGAATATTAGAAACAGTCGTATGAAGGAAGACATGGTTGATACAACTGATAGATGTAAGCAGGTGGAAGAAAAGCAGACTAGAGGAAGAGGATCCAAAAGGAAACTAGTGGAGGAAGAGAAGGAGAAAACAACAGAGCCAAGAAGCAGAGTATCTAAAAGAGGAAAAGCAGAAAATTCAGAAGAAATTGATTCACAAAAGGTAGTCAAGTTTAAATGTTCATTTTTATGTGGCAAAGAGTACAATATCATCATTACTAAACTGGCTAAACAGTAGAGAGGCTGTAAAACCTGGAAGGAAATTTGCATAGTTCTTATTACAATTATTGGATTTTTTTTTCATTATAGGAGAGCAACTGTTAGGAATAGCTGCAGTCACTATTTCATTTTATGTATTAACCACTTGTTTGTTCTCTTTTCTAGATCACTAAGAACAAGTCATCTACAATCTGCCAAAGCCCAACACCCAGTAAGAAGGCAAAGAAAGCTCAAGATGAGGACCTTCCATGCAGTCCTTCATTACGTAAAAGAGGTAATGACTCCAAGCCTAAAATAATGTTTACAGGAGTTGTTGATGAAGGCTGGGTGAAGGTAAGTTTTTGCTGACATTAATGACAAAATGGTTTTTATTTCTCCACTTTGGGTGGTCCCCTTATTGTATGAAAATTAACAATTTTGAAATGGGTGATACTCAAGTTCCTAATGTATGTCTAACATACACCACTGATTAGTTTGGTTGAGCAAAAATATTAATGATTTTTTTGCTTTTGTTTGTTTCTTTTTTTAGATTGTGAAAAGTTTAGGAGGTGAGCTTGTCACCTCAATTCATGACTGCACACACCTAATAACTGATAAGGTAATAACATAATTGATAATAATATTGTAATATAAATGTATTGTACTATTAAATATAATTAAATTTATTAAATTTGCAATGGTATGTTTAGAGTTGATTGTATGCTTTCCTAGACTTTAGTCATCTGGCGATTTACTCATCGTCACGTAAAGCTTGGTTAACATACAATTGCTACATGATATCGCTGACAGCTTTCGGTGATGCTGATTGGTTGGTCGTATCGGAGAGCCTTCCCAATTACATCGGGGACTGCTGCGCTAGTGCAACGATTGGACTGAAAACACTGTAGCGACAGTGTAGCAATTGTATGGAAAACAAGCTTTACGAAACGCATTGGCATGATTATGTGATGAAAGACTTGAAGTTTGGCAGATAGATCATAACTTGCAATCTTCATTCAATGGAGGACTAAGATTTTTATACAATTTTTACTGCACTTTATTTCATACAGTTATAGCAGAACATAGAATTCTTATGTTGGTATAAAACGGCATAATATGATTAGGAATTTATTTTAGAATTTTTGTATTAATTTCTTCAGATTCGTCGTACGGTAAAGTTCCTTTGTGGTCTTGCTAAAGGTGCTTACTTGATTGACCCTAAATGGCTTGAGGAATCCAAGAAAAGGAAGTCTTTTGTCAGTTAGTATCCATACAAAAGTTATTAGTATTGTTGTCACATTATTAAGTTACTATTTTTGTTACTATAATAAAGCAGATCTGCAATCCACTACTATTCAATATAAAGCCATACAAAAAATTGAAAGGGAAGTACATCTTAATCAGCAGGTTACAGTGCTTCGGCATGGGCTTAGGGTAAAATAAATGAGTGAAAGCAAATGAAGATATTGTAAATCAAATTGGTTTTTTTTCTAAACCACAATAAATTATATGGACTTCAGACGTTTTGTGTACTGCCAGCTACACTTCAGGAAATGAACTGTTGATGTTGTCAGTACGTATAATTTATTGTGGTTTAGAAAAAAACATTCGATTTACAATATTATATTCAAACCTGATGAAACTATTCAACAAATGAAGATCTATTTTGGAGTAGACTTGTGACATGTTGATAAAGATGCTCGTCTTTCTGTACCTTGGCGCTGGGTTCAAATACTGCATGTATTCCAATTTTTTACCAGATTAATTTTACTAGTAATAATGTTATCTTTCTAATATTTTATTATTCAATCATGTTTTTAAAGATCCTGACAATTTCTTGGTAACTGACAGAGCATCTGAAAAACAACATGGCTTCTCCTTGAAGAGATCACATGATATGGCAATAGAGACGAGGTTGTTTGAAGATTATAAAATTCATGTAACAGCTTCTGTAAAGCCAGACACCAATCAGATGAAAGATATAATTCACTGCGCTGGTGGAGAGGTAATGTGATAGCACCCCCTGTATAAAAATGATACTATTTGGATGATATTGTAGTAATGTAGAGAGATAGGAATAAAGTTACAAATCACAGAATAGAAATTGCAAGATGTTTAAATTTGTTTGCAATGAATTATAATTATTCAACTTATTGATAAAAATATAAAATTCTCTTTTTTTTTCTTTGTCAGTTTTTATCAAAAATGCCAAACAAATATGAAGAGAAAATAGTAGTTGTTTCAAGTGAAGATGATGAGACAAGATGCAACAGTGCCCTCAAGGCAGGCATACCAATTGTCAGCTCTGAATTTATCCTGACTGGGATACTAAGGCAGGAAATTCACATAGAACCGTATCCTTTATTTTACTGTGATAATTTGTTAAACTCAACTAACTAATATTTAAAGTACAATAACAACGTCAATGATTGTAAGCACACTCATAGTATTGGTAATCAAGTTTAAAACAAACACAGATGTGCTTCTAGGATACATAATCAATTATAAAAAATGAACACAACATTGTAAATTGCCTTCTACAAACTCCAAGGGCAAGTATACTAAGGAAGAAAAATTTATATTGCTTTCATCACTGTTACAAAAAATTTATCTTTAATACAACAATCAGATATCGTTTATTTGTAGAGGTTCCAAGTTCAGCATCCAAATCGAAGCCCAGTGCATCAGCAAAGAAAGGAACAACCAGTAAAAGAAGAAGATGAAGATTCACAGATAAAATAAACTAATAAGTTGGTGGGTTGAGTAACACTGGCTTACTTTCAGATGAAGATTTTGAAATGAAGTATGTTAACATTCTGTTGCGAATTCTATCATAAAGACACAGGATCAAATCCCAGTCTATAAATTCACTTCGTCACTTGGACAAGGCATCAGTCTACATTTGATTCTCTTCATCTTGGAGTATTTATTGTACAAATACAAATTCGTTTGAGGTGAAAGAGTGAATTTGGATAATTAGAATTAACTCGTGACATGAAACAAATGGAGACCATCAAAATCATCTCACACCGAGGGAATAGAATTAGGTACTTCACCTAAATTTTTGTGTGATTCGTGTCTGTACGATAACAAATTTAAGTCTACTTCAGCATCAGAAACAACAGCTTACCATATATCTACAGTAGCCTTGAGCTATGAGATTAAAACTAACTGGCTCTTTCTCATGTGTGTAAAATGTGCATGTGTGGAAGTATTGAAAAAGACTGCTATTGAGTACCAAGTGGAATTGACCAATGAAAATACTGAAAAGTTGTTACCTAATTAATATTTATAGTTCTTATATAATTATTGGTACCTGATAGGATTTGATTATCTTCTAACGCCTTTGCCAGGTCTTTGTTGAATGTCATGCTTGACCTGATTAGGGATGTCTCTCTGATTTTTCAGAGCTATTTTTAAACCATTGGCTGAAGACCTTAATGCTCAATTCTGTCCTGTATGTACTGTATTATCATATATAGACAATAGTTTTGCTCTGTACATATAAATTACTAACACTACACAAAATATACTGTACATACATGTCTACCATACTGCCACAAGCCCGTAGGCCTGACTTTTAAAAGGGTTGGGGGGGGGGTTCTAATTTTTCACGAAAGGGCACTTAGAGTCCACATCCACATCTGCCCCACCATGGTTGGGTTAAATTTTAAAATATAACACCACAGATGTCCAGAAATGGCAAAGAAAATGCCAAATTTCAAATATTTGGAGTTAATTTCAAAACTTTCATGCAAATGGTAATTTTTAGTAATGATATAAAAGGACATTTCTGGAAAATTCGGGTTCTTTTGAACCCCTCAAACCCCCCTGGCTACGGGCTCTGTGCCACATCACCCTTCCTGGCCGAGTGACAGAAACGAAAGGTGACCAAGGAGGAAAATAGGATCAGAATCCAATTAAGTGAGTGTTTATATCTATTTCGTTATTATTAAGACAAATAAGTCCACCCTGCGAGTCAGACAAATATTTTTCTTTAGTGTTCTACACTTATGGTTGTTGGGCATGTTTTTAAAATGAAAATAGACATCTGCACCATGCTTGACTGATAACCAACAATTGTGATTTAATGTAGGATGACGTCAATTGAAACCAAACATCCTAGAAGATACATGTAAAATACATGTAGTTCATATAGTCAAACGCTATATAACATGTTTTTGTAGACATTTTTTAGAGTGTTTTAAGAAGATGATGTTTACATATCTAAGTCTTGTATAAGTTACTGAATTATTTTGTAAAATAAAAAGTAAATGATAATACAGAAATACTGTAGAGTAATTTTGGATTTTTTAATGTATTTTTTCCTTGTATCCAACAGCACCACCAATACAGTGGCTCGTTAAACTACGTCCTTCATCACATCAAAAAGAGGAATTGTGAATAGTGAACAGGATGTTGATATTTTAGCATATGTTTAGCTCTGTAACATAGGCCTATACAATAATGAACCATTCGATGTAATTAACATCAACAAATACTGTAAAACCTCGAAGAGAAGCCTTTGTGCTTAATCTCGAGAAAAAGCCCACCTTGAATTGAATCTCTCTCTTAAGTTTGCAAAAGTAGCTTCTTCTATTCAAGATAGCATGGGCTTCTTTTTGAGATAAAACAGTACATACACTGTACATGAATTTCAAAGAAACAAACAAATTAAAAATACGATTTTAGATTATTTAATTCACTCCATGATACACACTGATGTTAACAATGGCTATTTATTGGTCTATTAGTATAGTAATTCCAAAAATTTATAGCATTTATTTTTTTTTTTTAAAGGAAGGCTCCCCCCTCCCTCCTCTTTGCTTTGCAAAATTAGCCTTGAAAAGAAACCCATCTCGAATAGAAGCCCATCCAAAATTCGCAAAAAAGAAGCCCATGGCTTCTATTCGGGGTTTTACGGTATTGTCAGCGAAGTTAATTAGTGAATAATAATTTTACAATACCCCATGAAAGCATTTTAATGCTTAAAATAATAAAGACGCGTAACGTATTAAGAGCATAGTTGTAATAAACTAGAGATGCTTGAAGTGCAGACAATTGACTAGGCCTACTGTACAGTAATGCCAAAACATGCATAAAGATAGGGGGCGGTTTAACGTCCGATTATGATGAAAAACATTTTTTTTTATTCTAATTTCAATTATTTTAATTTTATACAGTGAAGAAGCAATTGATTGAAATATTGGCTTTCGATTTTCAGTTAAACTTAGACAATAGGGCCTACAATGACGATAAATATACAGTGTAATCCAAAAGTACGTAATTTTTTTATCACTTAGGATTCGAACACATACTTATTCGATGCAGAGCATACTGCCAAATGGAAGGTGGGGGTGGGGGTACCACCTACATTCATGTTTCCAATTTATTTCGAAATGCCGAGGCTTTCATTCAGGACTTTATTTAGGCCTATTGGTAGTTATCACGTGATATTGATATATGACAATCACCCATAATAGGCCTACTTTATCCAGAGTCGATCGATGAATTAAACAGAAAGTCATTGTGTCAATAGATACGGCCGTGATACCGGTAAGAGGCAATTGCATAGATATACATCTATTGTATTCTGCTGGCTAACGCTAACATATGGAATGATCTCTGAAAATGGATTTACGCGGTCCATGTTAATATACAGTTTACCATTGATTTATTGTATGTACTTTTTAAGTATAAGCATGCGTATTGATTAATTTACACTTTTTATTTAACAATATTTTTATCGTTGAATTATAAGAATAATGATAAACGAATTCGGATTCTTTATTGAAATTTAAACAACATTAGTAATTAAACTATAGGCCTATATTGGTGATAAATATTGCATTTTCCTAAATTATAATTATAATTTTGTACAAGCTAGAACGTCGAATCATAAACGTGTATAATAAATGGAATGGTGGGCCGTCAACCGTTCAGCCTTTACAGACAGTAAAATGGTTAATTAACCTTCAGTGATTCGCTACTTGAAAAGATGTGAACAAATGATTACCATTACAATAGACATAAACCTAGAGGTGAGTGTTATACCTACAGATAACAGGATGCCACAGACCGTGCACCGCGACAAACAAACAGGTCCACTGTCTGAACTCAGTGTGAAAACAACGTTCTCAATGTATACTCGTCAAAACCCCCGAACAAACTGGGACTTATGCTCATGGATATATTTGTTGTTAACTCCTTCAGACTTAACAATTTTTTTTGGATTATAAACATGTCATTTGAGAGACTTTTGGATTGTAAGTATGGATAGTCCAGAGATCGTTGTGGTGAATGTACCTACTGGTCGAACTGACAAGGCATCTGGAAAAGTATTGCCGGACGTCCGTCCCGGAAAACCTCGCAAAAAGGTGACATTTGATCTGGATCTTAAGGTACATACGATACCAAATAGAATACCGTTGTATGAACGACGACCAGCGTCAAATGTTTCCAGGAGGAACCACCATCCATCGGCGTTTGTCCCGCGACCTTTAGAGTTCCGTGGTGGTAAGGATAGGCAATTCCTAGGCAATGCTACTTCAAAACTTATCGTAGACTTATATACCCACGGGTCTCACTCGACGCCACCTAGTCATTACTACTCTGGTTCCAGAGGTAGTTTTGTCCGGCCACAGCGGAAACCCACACCCAACTATTTTAATTATGCTGCAAAAAGTCTATATTCATTATCAAGCCTAAAACAGCCGGCCAAAATGAGCCGAGCTGCTGCAAACTTGAAACAAATTACCGATGCACTAGGAGAGCACCATGATAATAATGTGTATAAAGAATATGGAACTTATAAAAACAGTGCAGAATCACTACCCAGAGTTTCTACCAGTAAAAACCCTTACCAAGACTCAACAAGTACGAGTATGCACAAAATTCAAGTCAGCAACCGCGCAATGTTATCGAATTCTGCTCCGATTCGACAGAAGTTAACCAGTTGGCTAGTGACTAAACCACCACTACCAACCGAGAATGATCAACTGGTTCCTGCCACTAGGGGTCCTAAAGAGCATATAAATTCATCTTCCAATGAACATAAACAAACGATTGTAAAATTGCAAACAGTTAGTTTAAGTGATCAGACATCGCTGTACTCACCACCAAAGTTGATTCCCAGACCTCCATCATGTTCCAAACAGGATTATCGGAAGTCATCGCGTACAACATACTCTGGAACCTACGGTTTGAGTCTTTCCGATGATGGTAAACATGTCCAAGAAATTGAAGGTGATCGTTCCTCTTCGAGATGCTCAACTATTGACACCTACGTTATCCCTGACGCAGCACGAATAAAGAATAATATAAACACCACTAAGGACAAAATTATGATTAGTCCAAATGAACGATCAGTTGCCTGGGCTGCAACTGAGCTACATGTCAGAGATCCAGTTCTGGACGTAACTGTGTTACGTACGCCTGTTGGACCATCAGAAATTCCATACTTCTCTGCATGGCAAGCAACGACTAGACCGCCAAACTTATCATCAACAACATGACAAGAAATTCTGATAATAATATTGCAGATACTTCGTAATAATGCTTAAATTTTGCTAAGCAAAGAAATATGCCTATTACATCATAATTCGGACCGCGACAAATATTTAAATGACATACATCAATAATATTTTTTAATGAAACACGTTTTGCATTTGATACTATTTTACGCATGTGTAGTTGAAAATTCTCGAGATATATATCTGTCTCTTATACACATCTAGATGTGTATTATACATATTAATAATAACAGTGCTCGAATAGGAACATGCAATAATCGTATCATCAACGTAACTCATCAACGAAAAGTTCCTTTATTAATTTCGTTGATGGGCTTTGCTTGATACGATCGAGGACAGATGAGCTTTGAGGAGAGGTTACATTTCCTTTCTTTTTCATCTTTGCTGTCAGAAGGGACAAATTGCTTATTATTTTTTGCTTTAAATTTCTGATGGGCCTTCTAAACTGCAGCACGGTTTATGATGGTATCAAAATCAAATGATCGCTTGTGTTTCCGTCACCAAGCATCAAGGACCCAAGCATTTTTCAACTCGGTAGCCATCAGGTTGCCTCGTGCCTGGGACCAGCTCCCTAGATTGTTAACCGATGCTGCAGTTTTAGAAAGCCCATCCTCTTTTCTTCGTAAGGTTTCTTTGTATTTTGATTCACTGTAATGTTTGATGTTTTAATGTGTTGCTGAATTTGGGGTTGGGTAAACCGGCTTTGCTACAGTGATTTGGTTCACTCTGGTTGTCCCTGGTCTCCCCAAATTTCAGCTTTTTGTTGTTGTTGTTGTTGTTGTAAATGACTAATAGATAATGAAATTAAATGAAATGAAATTATTACAACATGTTCCTATTCGAGCACTGCATATTTATCAGTAACTCACTACTACACCTCTGTCTCTTATACACATCTAGATGTAGTAAATGATATAGTTTTGTGTGTTAAACGACTGTAGATTACCATGGTTCTTTGAAAATGTGCTATCGAACATTAGAGGCGTCTCAACATTATTTGGGTCTCGATTTAGAGGATGCACTGTATTAATAGATGTATTATATTTTACTGAAAGTTTTGATTAAATTCAGAAGTATCAAATAAATCTATGATGAAGTATAATTATATGAAAATATACGGTACATTTTATCATAAGGTTATAAATAGAAATATATAGAATATTCCCAGACAAATGTGCTTTACTATGAATATGCATAATTATTGCCATGCAAATAATTAGTGCATTTCCAGAATATGCGCAATATATTTCAATCCTTGATAAAAAAAAATACATTAGTGTTTTCATTTTTTAGGGTCATCATCCTTATTTGTACTAGTGTATTATTACTATAATGTTTTTTTTTTATTGTGAAATCAAGTTTACCGGTTAGTCTCTTAGCAACGTTTTCATCTTATCTATGAGGTTATACGCACGCATGCGAAACTAATGTGTTAATGCTATGTCCTAAATGACATTTATATATTATAATATTAGGTACAATGCATGTTACATTCGTTGTGAATGGCTTTCTGTCACTTAGCGTACAAAGTACTGCACAAACGCGCCTAAAAGTTCTAGGCTTAATTATTTCAATGTTATTCCTCTTCGCAAACAGAGTCTTGTAGGCAACAGAGTTCATTAAAGTTTTTATTTTTATTTTTGTGTAAATAGGCCTAATATTATCTTAATGATATTTTAAGCGTGTAAATTTATCTTGAGTAGAACAATCATTTTAAGAACAATAAAGATCTATAAGGAAGTGATTTGTGTTATAGCGTTTTCTTCAAAC